CTAGTCTAGACTCAGACCTAGGGCTTTGCCAGGATATACGAGCTTTACAGGAATGATCTTAACAAGTAATACCACTGTGCGTCAGGCACCAAACCGTTTTCTTTTTAACTTTCTCCTGAGGTGTCGCATACATGCAGACACGGCAACATCCTAAGCATAGGGCTGGATGAATGTCTCAGAGGCTGACCATAGCCATGTCACCATCACACAGATCAAACCTCAGGATATTCCTAGCACCCCACATCCTTTCTCAGGCTCCCTTCCAGCCCCTAGCCCCTTCGAGGTGAGTCTCTGACAGCGTAGATCGCTTTCGCCTGTTTAGGTGCATTTTATAAATGGAACCCTATAGCCTGTATTATTTTGTGCCTGGCTTTCTTGACTCAACATACTAGTGTGGCCTGTGATTCTAGGTGGTTCATTCTCACTGCTGAATAGGATTCCATTGTGTAAATATACCACAATTTACTTCTCTATTCTACCGCTGACGGGTATTTGGGTAGTTTCCAGTGTGGAGGTGTTACAAATCGTGCTGCTAACATGTCTTATGCTGAGCACACATAGGCATGTCTGTTGGATATATACCTGGAGTGGAATTGCTGGGCCGTAGGGCACGCGTATTTTGGTTATCTATTTTTATGTATGTAATCCTCACACCCCTTCCGTGAGCAAGGCGTCAGCAGCCCCTCTATGCACGGCAGCTCTGGAGCCTGACCTATGCCTCCTCCACAGGCCCCGAGAGAGCACGCAGGAAGAAAGGCCCGCTGGCACAGTGGGGAAAGCGTAGGTCTGGGTCCAGTGCTTTTTCACTATTGACAACCCACTTTATTATTTTTTCTTAAGAGACCCATTGTTTCGGAAGATATCTGCATACCAAGTTACCAAGCAAATATCACTTGCTCAGTATCGTTTAATTCGTTGTCTAATTCCTTTGTTAGTCAAAGACATATCTAACCAGTAATAGCGCTGTTGATCAGACACCCTGCATAGCAGGACAGATGTAATTTCAGATAAAACCAAAGCGAGCCCAGGTTTGGGTTCTCCTCTGTAGCCTCCTTACTAGAACACAGGGTTTCTGTTGGGCTACTGAAACATGGATGATATGCTGCCCTTCTCCTTTGTGATGTCAAAGGAACGTTAGGTGATGGGGAGCCCCTTCCCTCCTCCAACGAAATCTAAGACCCAGGCAATGTCTGAAATCCTGACTTATGATCAATACATTAGTGCACAAGTAGTTCACAAATCATTTGGGCCAGAACTAGACCATCATTTTAAACAAAGCTTCAAAGCCCCATCCATTTACTTTGTGCTTCTTAAACTAAGATAGGTTATATGGGGTAGTAAGGAACATTTTCCAAACTGCCACCAAGTGGTAAGAAAGACTTTAGGCCACTGCTAACATTTGTCTCTGTTTCTGTTCTCCATCTCTGTCCCTTTCTCTCTCTCTCTCTCTCTCTCTCTCTCTCTCTCTCTCTCTCTCTCTCTCTCTCCCCCTCTCTCTTATATATATATACATATATACATATATATGTCATACATATATCTCTTATATATATATATATATATAAATATATAGGTACATATATATTAGAGACAGAAGGGTATTTATTTTTTATCTCTGTAAACAGAATTGGGGTTCCACTGTATCTTACTTTTTATTAGCATTTTTCCATGTGATTTAAAAAAGTAATTTCAAAAGTGGGTTTTTTTAATTGCCTTTTGATAGCCCATCACATGATTAATTTAATTAATTCTCTATTTTGGGACATTTAAGCTGTTTCCAATATTTTGCCATTGCAAATAATACTGGGTGAATATGCTTGCACTGAAGCCCTGGGGGAAAGCTCTGATATCTTAGGCTAAACGACAAGATGTTGAATAACCCACCAAATGGGTTGGCTTTTGGATGTTATCTTTTGAGTCTCACTATCAAATACAAATTTATGCCTCTCTCAAGAGCGTATGAGAGTGTCTTTTTCTGCCCACCCTGGTAATTTTCTATTGTAAATAATTTGTCTCAATTATATAGGTAAAACACGATAGTTTGGTTTGAACTGCATGATATTGATTCCTGGTGAGGTTAAATATTTTTTTAGGTGTGTCTCCTTAGTTTGCATTTTGTGTTACTTCTTATTTTACAAGTTCTCCCCTTCCCCACAGAATGCCACCCATGCTCAGGCAAGTCTCTGTCCTTGCTGCTCCTGGGCTTTTAGCACAGCAGTAATATCAGTGTCCTCCGGAAGAACTCAGCATTGTCAAATGCTGTGCGAACAGAGCACGTGTCAGGAAAATGCACACTCCTAAGGCCCGCAGGTGGCTTGGCCAGCCACATTTGTCATTCCTCCAACCAGAATGCCCAAATTCCTCCCAGAGCTGTAAACCTCACATCTCACCTGGACTCCGGACACCATCGCCTACGGGCCTTTAGGGCAGGCAGGCCTGGCCGCATTACCTAACAACTTAACCAGGTGACGTTCACGTGCATTTAGGATTTTCACATGATGGCGTGTCAGAGGAAGTGTCCCCCACTGCTTTGGGGACACAGGCAACTGTAAATTGGATAACAATATGGTGCTGATTTATTTATCCTCATAAGAGATTTACATTCTGAAGTCAGCAAGGGTCCCGTTGCCCGATTCATGGCCAATTGGAGTCATCACTTTAGGGAAGTGATGACTTCCCTCGCTCAGCTGGATGGCCTGTGCTGGGACCTGGAAGAGCCAAGGCACCCCATAGGGCTGAGGCCCAATCGTGTATCTCAGTCTGAACCAAATGTATCTTCCAGAGACGTGAGACAGAGACAGGAAGTCACCAAACAGTGGGAAACTTTTCCTCTCCGGGCCAAAACTGCTCTTTGGCCTCTCCCTGGCTGCCTCTGAGTTCCTTCTCCTTTAGAGGGAATGTCAGCCTCGAACAGCAGCTGCGCTCTGGTGGACAGAATGGTGAGTCATTTAGGTAGAAGTAGATGTGATAAAAAAAAGTAGCTTTCTGGGCTTTGGATGATGTTAATTAGCAAACAAGGCCAAGGCTGAATTCAATGTCCCATAATAAATTGTGGTAGATCCTTACAAGAGAATATTAGGCAGCTGTTAAAAATAATGTTTTCAAAGAATTTTCGTAACACTGAAAAAAGCTCATGGCTTGAAGTAAAATAAAAGATATAAAACTCATAGAGAATATAGAATGTGATCCAAATTATATAAAAGACTAGCTAGAAATGTTGCAAAATGGTAAGTAACCATGGGGTTATCTCTGTAGTTAAGATTATGTTTGAGGGCCGGAGTGGTGTGTTGGTTAAGAGCTGGCCTCGGACACCAGAGGGCCCCGGTTCGGATCCCACATATGAGGGCCAGTGACACTGCCCTCCACAGCTAAGATGCTGAACAACAGCTCAACCTGGAGCTGGGCTGCTGTGAGTTGCCAGCGACAGCATAGGCTGCAGCCTCTGCTGCAGTGGGTTGTCATGGGCTACCGTGTGTAGCCAGCAGCCAGTGTGAGCGGCCGTCCAGAGCCGGCGACTGATCTGCCTCACCCGGGGAAGAGCATATTGATGGTGCCAACTTGGGCCAGTGAAGCAACGTCCTCCAGAACTAGACTGAAGAACAAAAGGACAGCAACTTGTCTGTTCCCCTTCCCCCAATTCCCCAGTGCTGTTCCTATCCCCCAATTCCCCAATAAAAATCTTAAAAAAAAAAAAGATTATGTTTGAGTTTTATGTTCTTTCTTATTATTGTATTTTAAAAATTTCCTAAATTAAGCATCTGTGGCTTTTATTTAAAAGAAAAACCTGATCATTAATATTTTGAAAGACCAAGTCTGATGTGATCTGCCTCAGGCCTCTGGAGAGTTCACGAGTTCTTCTTGGTTTTTCAATTCTGCTCTCTTTATGTGAGAGTTAGGAAGGGGTGAGCTGTGAGCATGATGTGAACAAGGAACTGCCTTAACAGAGAGTGAAGACACATCTTTCTACAGATATTAGCCAGCACTTGCCCTCACTCACATGCTTCTTTTTCCGTTCCTCCCTCCCTCTCTCCTTCCCTCCCTCCCTCTCTTTCTCCCTCCTTTCCTCTTTTCTGCAGAATACAGAAATGACAATGACATCTCCACCAACAGAATTAGACCACCACTGTGCACTGAGTGGACTGAATACTTATCATGTGCCAGACACTGGACTAAAACATGACCTACTGTCTTATTTGACCTTTAAAACAACTTCTTTACTGATGAGAGATCTGAGTTTAGTGAGGTTAAGCAATAAGGTGTTTATATCTTAGTCTCCATAAATTTCCCCGGGGAAAGGAGAGAGGAGATGCCTCAGGGAACCTCCTGCCTCCTCTGCTGAGGGGGCCGTCTGGACCGTGTGGCCTGAGCTGCTGGGATTGAAGAAGCTGGCAAGGAAGGTTGTTGCATTAATTACCATGTGCCTGAATCTTTCTGACCAAGAGTGACAGCCTACTCACTGTAGAATAACATAGTTTTATGTGGAGAGATTTTAGTGATGCGACATATGCCTCATTCATGGGAAGTAAGAGGCCGAGTGCTGTAGAATCAGGAATGTGGGCTCTCAGGTGGCCACCGCTGTGTCCACCTTGCATTCACCCTGGACTGCTGCTTGCCTGACTGGTGGTGTCGAAGGCTTGAGATTCGAAGCATTGTTCAGGCCCGGGGTCCCTGTGGATGACTTGGTGGGTCCCTGGGGAAATGGGTCCTTTCCTACAGCTTGCCTGGAACGTGACAGTAGCAGATTGGGCCTCACAAGGGCGGTCCTCCCACCCGCTGGTGGTGGGGGCCCAGCAGTGAGATGGGGATGCTGGTTGGTCCAAAGGACTGTTTGGAGCTGACGTTGTGAGAACACTGAGCAACCCAGACAAGGATATCCCACCTATTATCACATAGACATGTCATTACATAATCACTGCATAGTAGCCATTCTACTAATATACAGAAAAAATAAATACAAACTATCTGTATAAAACATTACTTTTAATAAAATAAAACCAGGCCACTCATGAACTCATGGGTATGAGGTTAACCAGTTTCAAATGTAACTTATACGATTTTTTCTAAATTAGTAGCTTGAGCCTTGAGAGCTGGCCTGCCTCAAGCCACAACCTGGGACGTTGACCCAATGGGGACTTAAAAGCTCAAGGGTGGATTCTTCGTCTTGGGTCAGAGTTGGTTCAGGGTCACATGCTCTTGAGGTCCCCGAAGACCACGTGGGCGGCATTGCGTCCAGCTGCTCCCATGACACCTCCTCCTGGAAGGGAATCTCCTGTGATCCAAAGCTGCGACAACAGCCCCCAGGGAGCCGGCGACCAGGCAGAGCGGGATGCTTGAGGGAGGTGCTCGGGCTGCGGGCATCAGGACCACCTGGGACAACTATGGAGACAGACTCTGGGCTCCCCTCCAGGTTTCCTGCCTCACGCTCTGGGGAGGGAGCCAGGCACACAGCCCAAGCAGTGGCCCCTCTCAGTCTGAGAGCTGATGCGCTGGATGGTGAGACTCCCAGCACGCGAAGCTAAGACGCGGGGCCGAGGGCTTGAGGGGGAAGATGCGGAAGTTCAGGGCCTTTCTGGGAGGCCGAGGCCCACACGGCTCCGAGAAAGTGTCCAAATGAAACGGCACCCTTGGCGAGGTCGCTTAGGCTTGGGATAGATGCAGGGAAGAACTTTAAAATTGAGAAACTTGACTGGTTCTTACTGGTCTAAAATATGGAGGAGGAACTCAGGGACATGGCTCTCTCAGAACCCCAAATTGGAATCTGGAGAGCTGTCTCGGGGACATACCCTTAAACCTCATGAGGAGGTGGTAGGAGCTAACCTGTGGACTGTGGCCGGCCTGGCTGAGGCCACCGCTGTTTGTTGACCCAAGCGCTGAGACTTCTGACTATGGGATGTGGCATGTTCTCGTGGGAGTTCCATGCTCCCCTCCTGCTCTCCCTGCCTCCCTCATTGTTGATCCTGTTCCGCTGTCCGCAAGCCTCTGATGGCCAGCCAGCCCTCGCTGGCCACACAGGGTGGTAGTGGAACCGAGGGTCACTCACCAGGATGGGCCCCACTTCCGCAGAGATACAGGCCCCGGAGAGGGCAGCGGTAGCTGGAGTGCAGGGGCACGGGGCGGGAGAAGTAGAGTTGGTCTAGGCCCATGGCACAGTGGAAGATGTTCTATGAGAGGCAGGGCCACAGCCGTCAATGTAGGAGTGTTATGGTCTTAACCGCCTTTGTGGGCGTCTTCCCCTCCCCTGTTCTCTGAGGAAGGTTCTTCTCCTTCCAGGATGTTTTCTTGATTCTTGTGATGCAGAAAGCGGAGGGGAAGAGAGAGGCGATAGGCACATGGCCTGCAGTTTTCCAGGCCATGTGAAAGGGGGTGAAGTTTTCCAGAGGTATTTTTTTTTTCAGGGAGAAAGAAGGGTGTCAGGAAACTGAATGGGAAAGAAGACGAAGATTTGAAAGGTTTTGCTGTGGACTAGGAATCCCCCTCGCTCTATTTGAACAATAGAGGCATTTGACATATTTTGACGGCTGGCACATGTTTCTTTGGCCAAGGCATCCATCTGAGCCTGGACCACGGGGGTCCAAGTCCCAGCAGAACCACAGTAAATGTCAGACGAAGGGCACTGGGACCCGAGCTCGGTTCTGCTCCACTGGCCTGGGTCAGACCAGCCAGGCAGGGAGGCAGTGTGGATACGGGAAGGTCAGGCTTGTGGGGCAGGTTTGGGCAAGAAGACAGCATCTGCTGGACGTCACCACGGGGATGTTCTTCCATCTAACCCTCTCAGCATGTCCCAAGCTGAGCTTGTTCTCATCCCTCAAGTCTGCTGTCTCTCATCTTCCCTGCCTCAGTGGCGGCACCGCCCTCTCCTCGGCCGCCAGGCTGCACCCTTCCTGTGACTTCCTCCCCGGCCTCTACAGGCACACCCCACCAAGACGTCTCACTTCTGCCTGCCCCAAGCCTTCCTTCCACATCCCTCATCCTGTTTCCTCTATATCTGGGCTAGCACCGTCCAATAAAAACATAACGTGAGTCACATATAATTTTTATTTTCTAGCAGCCCCATTAAAATTTAAAGAGAGGCTGTTGAAATGCATGTCAATATATTTCCTTTAACCCAGCAGATCCAAAACAGTATCATTTCAACATATTAATATAAAAATTACTAATGAGAAGTTTTACTTTTTTTTTTTTTTACTTTGTTTGTTTTTGTACTAAGTCTTTGCAATCTGGTGACACATCTCATTTTGGCCTAGACACATTGACGCGATTGATAGCTACCTAAGGCTAGTAGTGGCTGCTGTGTTGGAATTGGCCTCCTAGCTGGTCTCCTTGCCTCCAGTCTCAATGAGGTTTCTTTTTCTTTCTTTCTTTTTTTTTTTTCAAGTTGCAGAAAAGGACAGTTTATTAGAAGAAAAAAAATACATTTCAAAGAAGCAGAAGTGGGCCTGAACAGCAGACCCGAACAGTAGAGAATGGCTCAAGGGCCATTATTAGAAGAGAAAGTATACTCCAAAGAGTTCGGAGCAGGATGAGCAAAAGGAAGAAGCTCAAAAGGCCTCAGCGAGTTTTTGACACATCAGATAGAAGTCTGAGGTCATGCTCCCTTGCAAGGGGAGCTCCCTCTGTAGAAAGTCAGATGGCACAGCCTGACATGGACATCCAGGCAGAAGGGCCACCATCCTGGTGACCTTCTCAGCAGGCACTGTCTCTCCTCTCTGTGTCTCCCAACTCCTCCCCACTCCCTAGATCTGATCACTCCTCCGTCCCCTCTCTGGCCATGGTCTCTGCCACTGTCCCCCTTTCCGATAAAGGCTGAGTGTGGAGGGCTTGCCAGGAAGTGAGGGTGTAGATAGAGCGAGAAGAGTGTGATAAGGGACCCCAGGCTTCTACTCACCCCTCCAGGAAGCCCAAAGATTCTCTCCAAATCAGGTGGGGTGAGGATGTCTCTGCCCACCACGGAGCCCTTGAAGCCAGGGGCGTAGGCCTCGATGCAATCAAACACTGGGCACCAGACAGCAAGGAAGCCGGATGGTGTTAGGGGGAGGAAGTGGAGGGGTTATCATTGCACAACTTGGCAAATTTACTAAAATTCATTAAACCATACACCTAAAATGGGTTTACTTTTGCATATGCAAGTTATATCTTAATAAGCAAAAAACGAAAACAGTCCACAGACAACCAAATAATTCAGTACAAGGCCTATGGATTTCAGGCTGGTTCAGCCCCCCACTCTTTTCCATCTCCTTACCCCAACCCTAAACACAAAGTTATTTGTCTCCCCTTGACTATGCAAAGCTTTCTTCCCCTCATTGCTGTGCTCAAGCTGTTTCTTGTGCTTGGAATGCCCTTTGCTGCCTGGCCAACTCCTATTCACCCTTTAAAACCCAGCTCAAATGTCCCTTCCTTGGAAAGCTCTCCTTGTCTGTCTGGCTCACAGCTCCCTCCTTTGGTTCACATAGTACCTTGTACTGTAACACTGGTTTCTTTGTTACTCGACCCACTAGACTGTGAGCAACTTGAGGGCAGGAACTAGGTCTCTTTCACTTTCTTAGCCCAGTGCCTGAACCCAGGAGGCATTCACTACCTTGATTTCAGTTCCCTCAGGTACTTCTCTCCCCTTGGGACAGAACTTGAAGGTGTTAATCCTGAATGGGGCAGCCAGGAAGAGAGAGGCCCATTCAGCCCGCATGGCCAGCTGTCACTCTGGGGACAGGACAGTCTCGCCCTCCTTACCTTTATCTGCATAGGCATTTCTCTCCTGCTCATCCCAGACCTTGCCTCCAGCCAGTGTGTAGGGAGTGTACTGAGTGAAGAGGGAGATGACATGGCAGCCAGGAGGAGCCAGGGTGGGGTCCAGCGAGGAAGGGATGCAGAGCTCAATCATAGGCCTGTGAGAAGGGGGATGGGAGGGGAGAGGGTCAGATCTGAAGAACACCAGCTGTCCCAAGGGGAGGAGCTAGGGGTACTGTGAGATGACTGGGAACAAAATGAAGGCCTGAGAGGAGCTGCTGGCAAGGCAGGGCTGATCATCTCTGTGAGGACACGGTGGTTGTTCACCTGCACGGGCTCTGTGACCACTAGGACAATCCAGACCGCTGAGGGGCTCCCCCAGCCCCAGGCGCCAGGGTCTCCGGTCCCACACAGCCCACCTCTGAGTGTGTGGCCTGTCCCTGCCTTCCTCCATCACACAGCCTGTACTCTAACTAGGCTCTCAAATGTCTCCAGGGTCCAGACAGACAACATGAGTAAGTGCAGGGGCCAGGCTAAGACAGACAGCAGGTGCTCAGACAGCCAGATTTCAACCAAGCTTCTCCCTGCCTGATTACCTGTCCTGAGCAGGCCAAGGAAAACAGAGCTGCTGGGGCTGCCTGACACCCAACAGAACTAGCACCCGCTTCCTGCCCCTCCTTGCTTACAACACCTGTTCTACTTGGAGCACATTCTTCTTCTGATCCCCAAATATGACCATCCTTCAAGGCCACATGAAATGCCCCTTCTCCCTGCATCCCTTGCTTGCAATGTTTCTGCTGAACTTGGATGTTCACTAGGCACCTTCAACGTTACTTGTCCAAACCTGAATGCCTGCTCTCCCCTAAAACCTGCTCTTTCCAGCATATACCATCTTCCCCTTTTCAATAAAGGGAAATACCATCATCCGGTGGCTCCTTTTTCTCACTCATACCCCACTTCCTGTCCAACAACAAATCCTGTCAGCTTTACCTTCAAATACCCAGTATCTGGCCACTTCTCATCACTTCCGCTGCCCCAACCCTGGTCCAAGCACCGTCCTGTCTCCCTTGGATTCTGCAATAGTAACAAATTGCAACAGATTGCCCTTTTTCTCCATGCAGTGGCCAGAGTGGTCCTTCTAAAATATAAATCAGGCTCTGCACAAAGTTCCCTGGCCAGGAGTGGTGGACAATGCCCAGCAGGCTGTAGCCGCTGCAGCTAGAACCCCATCCCTACCCTTCACTCCCCGGTTCTGTTTCTCCAGCCACTCTGGCCTCATCCCTGTGCCTCCAACACAGCAGCACACGCCTGCCCCAGGGCCTTTGCACCTGACTTTCCCTCTGTCTGAATGTTCTTCCTCAGATATCCACAAGATCTGTATTCTCACTTCCTTTAGGTCTCTGCTCAAACATCATGTTATTAGAGAAGCCTTTCCTGACCTCCTTATAAAGACTAGCAAACCCTCCCCTTCCCCGGCCTATTTTTCTCCATATCATCAGTGCATGTTTGTTGACTATCTTGTCTTCTACTGTAGGTCAGAGACCTGAGGACAGAGGCCATGTTGACCCTGCTTGCTGCTTTGTGCCCAGATCCCTGAACTAAGCCTGACAGAGTAGGGGCCCCCAAATGTTTATGAATAGATAAGTGGCCTTTGCTCTCTACCCTTCTCTCAGGACACACTTCTTCTTTACCTCATGCTATAAATATTTATGTGCCCATCGTATGATAAGCATTTTGTTTGTTTCATACCCCTGCCCAATCCCCAGTTCTCCCAACTTGTACCTATACAGAGCCTGGCATAGAGTCGGTTTTCAACAAGTTTGGGTGGACAATTGACAGTATGGAAAGATGCTTGCTCCTGCAGTGTCCCTGCCTGTTCTCAGAAGGATGGGGATATAGCTGCGGAGGGAGGTGGGAAATGCTTTTAGAAGTTTTGCATGAAGGCAGCTTATCAGAGATAAGAGAGAATGTAGACTCGGGTGCGTGTGTGCCTTCTGACAGGTTGCTGAATCAGAGAATCTCCGTTTCTCTGCCAGAAAGCCTTTTCTCCAGTTCTTCCCAGACGCCAGCACTGTTCTCTTTGCAGCCCTTTGCCCTTTCTGCTAACCCGTGACACCTGGCGGAACGTGTCCGACGCTTCACCCCTTGCCTGCACCGCCCACAGATTTCTTGCCTGGGATGCATTTCCTGGCCTAAGTGTGGATTTAGGCAGATTTTACCTCACTGTGAATGTTGAGCCAGGTGGAAGAGGCGATCCCCGCTGTGTCTGGACAGTCACCCCTGTCTCCCCAGGACCATGTATAAGAATATCCCAGCAGACACCAAGCCCAGGGTCCACCCACCTGTGGGAAGGCCAGCCATCCATGGCATCTTCAAAGGCCTGATGGAGGAGGGTGGTGTCTTCACAGTTCAGGTGGATGGAGCACTGGTGATGCGGCAGCGGCTGGCCGCTGGCAGCATTGGGGGCCGCCAGGAAGTCAGGCAGCCTGTTGACAGCCACTGAAGGACCAACGGGGAGCGTCAGGGTCCAAAGGCCCCAGGGTTGTCCTTCTCTACCCATCACCCTGCTCACCCAAGTGGTGGACTGGGAAGACAAAGGTATGAAAAAGTGTTTCACCTTCCTATTGGGGGCCAGGCTGGAGGTCAGGGGATAGAAATGATGACGTAGGTCAGTTTTCCCCAGACCTGGAGATTTTTCACTCAGAGGATGTCAGAAGAGACGGCTCTGCAAGGCGGTGTGCCTCTTACCATTGATCTTGGTGACGGGTGACTGGGTGTCCAGCTGAGAGATTCTCTCCATGAACTCTTCAGGAAGCCACTCCTGGAAGGAGATGTTTCCATGAAAGGCCTGGGGATGGCCGAGGGCCCCAAGGGGCTGCTTTCCTTCTTTTCTCAGGCTGGTCCCTTGACCTCTACTTCGGGAAGCCCTCTCCATCCTTCAGAGCTCAGCCGAACCGCCTCCTCTGTGAAGCCCTCCTGGACCCCCCTCCTGCTCAGTGCTAAGCTCATCTTCCTCTGCACTCTGCCAGCAGTTCTGGCCGTAAGTGGCCCACATCAGCTCCTGCTTTGGATATGGCCAGTGGTCTGCAGTCCTCTTTTGTCCTCTGATCTGTAAGCTTTTGGAAGTCTTGATGATCTCAGAATAGCCTTAATAAGATGCTTTTGAACTTATCTTTGTTGAGTTTTATTAGGAGAACCACCCAGAAAAAGTGGTGCTTGTCTCCAACAATAGTTCCAAGAATGGTTGGGAGCTCCATGCTCATACATATAGTATATCTTTTGGGGACAGGGAAGGTGTGGTCAATGGCAAAAGTTGCCCCAAATCCTTGCCCCTCCCTGTATGCCCTGCCACTGTAACTCTGGGCTTGGCCGTGAGACAAGGCCAATGTTACTAAATAGGATGTAAACAGAAGCTTGAAAAACATTTGCATGATTGAGTTTGCTTGCTTTTGCCCTCTGCCAGATGCTGAGACTATGCTGGAATAATGAAAGACACATTAGGGTAGAGCTGAGTCACCCCGGTCATTCCAGCAGAAACAGTCCTGGACTAGCCACAGCCTGCTGACCCCGGCATGTGAGCGAGCCCAGCCAAGATCAGTAGGGCCCACTAGTTGACTCACAGCTGATGGCTGATGCTTGAGCGAGCCCAGATTGGCTGAACTCAGCCAGACCAGCTGAACTCTCCATCTCTGTGTGCTAAATCAGTATTTCTTGTTAAATGCCCGTAAGTCATGTGGCTGTTTATTATGCGGCATTCATACAGAAATAGATAATTGACACACACAGTGGAATTAGAGTTAGTTAGAAGGGAGAAACTAAGATAGTAGGAAAGTTGTATAAATAATTGGATTGAAAGTCAGACCTGGGTTCCAGCTCTGGCTCTGCCAATTGCCAGCTGCATGGCCTACGGCACCTCATCTCTCTGGACCTTTCTCCTCACCTGTGAGGCTTCTTCCCTGTTTGCTACCTGCCTGTTAGGTAAGAAAGAGAAGGACTGGCTTCCCCCAAGGCAGAGAGGCTTGGCACTTGCATCTCCCACCCTTAGGCAGTCCTGGCTCCCTCGATCACCACCATTTTCTAGCCCCTGTCTTGGCAGACATCTTAACGTCCACCCCGCAGGCCTTACCTGTGGCGTGAGCTTCAGGAAGGTGATCTGTGGTGATGCGTTGGACAGCACTACTTTGCTCCTCACCTCTGAGCCATCCTGCAGCACAACTCCGAGAACACGTCCTCCACTGCTCACCTGCACCTTAGCCACTGCCTAGAGCCCAGAGGAACAAGGCCCAGAAACCCCCAGGAATGGAAATGCAGGTTGGCTCTTGGGGGATCTCCACTGTGTGTGCTGTTCCTAGGCGCTCACAGTTTCCTCATCCCGAATCCGCCCTGCCGAGCTCTACAGCTCCTTGGGGGAAGCCTTAACTCCCTTTTTCCCGCAATGGGAAGCCTTAGCCTAAATGTGGGTTAGTGGTGGTGAATTCAAAGGGGACCTGAGTTCACAGAAGAACTGGAACCTGACCGATAGCTGTGCAGCCACTAGCAGGCTGCATAACCTGAGCCCTGCCTTGTCCATTAGAAAAACGAGGGACCTTCCTGATCTGAGGTTGTGTTCTATCCTGGGATCCTAGCCAATCATTGGGGTAGAGGGTAGAAGGGTGGTTCACCTTTTCGGTGAAGATACTCGCTCCATGCGCGGTGGCTGAGCTTGCGATGGCATCAGAGAGGGCACCCATGCCACCCTCGACGTAGCCCCAGGCCCCCTGTACTCCCTCCAGGCCCCCCATCACGTGATGTAGCAGCACATACCTGAGGACAGACCATTAGAATCAGTGGCTGGAGGTGGAATTAACCTCCCCAGAGTTCTAGGTACAAACCATCCATCCCATTTGTGCCTTCAGCCTCCTCCTCCGCCCTCCAGCCCTGTCCCACTGGGCTTTAAATGAGCTGTAGGCCTTTGTAAGAGTCCTTTGCCTCCCCAGCCTACATTCCCTCCCCATGCAAACATATCTTCCTGCAGCGCTTTGGTTCCAACAAGGTAGCTGTTATGCCCAAACCCGCAGCTCCACCTCTCTCCTGAGCTCCAGCCCGTATGTTCAGCTACCCACAGATATCTCCATTTGAATGTTTTTTTGGCAGACATCTTAAATCCATTCCTTTTCCCCATCCCAGTGAACGGCACTTTCAGTTTCCAACAGAAACCTGAGTGTCAATCTTGCCTCCTGCTAGTCCCCCATCACCTACATCCAATCAAGCACTGTCAACTGTGCCTCGTAGAGAGCTTCCCAACGCCCCTGCTCCCTGCCGCCTCTTCCCTGGTCTGGGCCACTCTTTTTTTTCTTCCTTAAACTGCTGCATCACTGTCTTCCAAATTGGAACACCTTCTCCTACTCTTCCTTGCCTGCAGAGCTTTCTCCACGCAGAGCCTGGCGCCCAGTCCCCAAACCCAGCTATGCACCCATTGCTTCCATCCTTTCAAGCCTTCACTGGCTCACTGTTGCTCTTAGGGCAATGGCCAGTCCCCCAAAACGACCTCCAGGGGTCCCGCCTGCTCATCAGCCTCCGCCCTCATCATACTCCCCGAACACCCCATATTCCTACCAAACCGAACCTCTTTCAGTTCTTTGAATGGACCACAGGGTTTCTCAGCCCCCTGCATTTGCACGTGTTGTTCCGGAGCCTAGAACCATCTTCCTCCCTCACCTCTTGCTTGGCTAATTCCTCCCGCCCTGAGGGTCTCAGATTAAACACGGAGGGCTTCTCTGACCCCAGACCACGTGGTTCCCCTGCTTGATTTCCCTGATCGTCACGCTCGTGGCACGCCACTGTCATTACTTGCTCTGTGTCTACTCCCTCTCCATAGGATCTTAGATCCGTTCACTACTGTAGCGCCAGCACCCAGCACAGGCAAGGGCTTTATCCATATTTATTGAAAGAATTAATGAAGAAAGAAATTACTTAAAGGCACATTTTACAACCACGGGCAGCAGCTAAGCCTCCCAGAGACCCACAGAGACAAGGAGAGGAGGCCCAGCTGGAAGAAACAAATTGGCCATTTGATCATGGAGCTTGGCCAAGGTGTGGCAACCGCTGCCAACCCCCCTTTCCCATGGCCGTGGGGAGTTTGGGGCTGGCTTAATGTGTGTTGAAAACCACACTTCCAAGGGGTGTTCTCATCCCTGGATAGAAAAGCCACATTGACAGCTTCTAGCTGCATCTTCTGGTGCGTTGGACATGGCCCAACACTTGGCAGTGTCCCCTCTCCCAACACACACACACACACACACACACCCCTCCATTCCTGCTCCCACACTACAGACTTCACTGTGTCTGACTGCCCCCTCTTGGATCAGGCTGCCAGTACACCCCCCCAGTCACAAAGGGAAAGGCAGCTTCCTGCTTCCCACCCTGACCAAAGTGTGTGTGTGAAAGCGGTTTCTGGAGCTGAGGAAAAGTATCAGTGGGAGAGCGAGGGGCAACGGGGCTTCCTGGGAGGGGAAGTGAGGAAGAGAGAGGAGAAAGAATGGGATGAAGATATTCATGCTGAGATAACGCAGTGGGAGGTGGGAGGGAGGCTCTGTTTAGGAAGCACTAGAGAGGAGTGGCTAAGAGGGAAGATTTGGGTGGGTGGACAACTTGGGCTGCAAATAACCTCTGCCACTTACTAGCTGTGTGACTTTGGGCAAGATACTTCCCTTCTCTGAACCACGGCTCTCAGATGTTGCCTTGAAAGACAAATGAATAGTCTATGAAGTGCTTGACTTCATGCCTGCCTCTCTGGGTGAGCTCAGTGAATGACAGTTGTTATTGCTTTTGTCGAGCAGTTCACTGCACTCCTGCTGCCCCACCTCGCCTTCCCTACTCACCCACTCCCCGGAGTGTGGGGGCTTAGCATGGCTCCAATCACAGCATCTGTTGCTAGAGTGGCTTTTAGAGGCTCAGACTCAAACCACTGGTTCAGCACCTGGGACAGCAAAATGGCAGGGAGAAGGGCTTCCTGGCCTTGGGAGGAGGGAACCCCTCACTGCGAGGCCCAGTCTGAGGCTGGGGAGCCCCTCACCTTGGTAATTGGAGCTGTGAGGACCTGGTGATACTGGGGCAGCTGGGCTCCTAGGATGCGGCCTGAAAGAGAAGATCCATAAAACAGAAACTGAGACAGGCAAGAAGGAAACGCTCGAACCTGTAATATTGCTGTACCTGTTTTTTTAATCTGTAAAACAGGAGTAATATTTCATACCCCCAAGAGCTACTGTGAGGATTAAATGAGGTATGTAAAGTGTTTGCAAGTTCATAGGCACTTAATACATTTTAGTTCTTAGCAATTATTTTTGGAAAAATTTTAATTTGTACCCTATTCCCTTACCTTGAACTCTGAGGGCTGTGCCCTGGGAGGTAGCTGGCGTGGCTAGTCCACGCCTCTGTTACTGATTTGGACGGGTAACGGGGCAGTAAAGCCCAAGAGCAGGGATCATGATCTCTAGCCATGGTAGCCCCAGGGCCTAGCTTAGCATCTGGCACACAGCAGTTGTTCCATAAATGTTCATTGCATGAATGTTTGTTGCATGTTTATTGCACGAAGCTCTTTGGGCTGGGAATCTGAGAAGCAATGTCTATTTTTGGAGTGTGTGATAGATTCTACTGGCTCTGATCCTTCACCCCTCCCCGTACCCACACACTTTGCCATATAACTCTACAGTGCCCCCCACCCTAGCTGCGTTGACCTTTCCTGCTTCTTGATTCTGAGCTCATGCACGTGATTTGCTTGGCCAATGGAATGTTTGCAAATATGATGCAAACAGGGGCTTGAAACTGGCCTGTACATCGGGGCTTGCCCTCTGTGCTTCTGCCATTGATGTAAGAAGGCCATGCCTGGACTAGCCTGCAGCTTCCAAGAGGAAGATGAGAGGCACCTGGAGCATAGCTGACCTCGCTGATCTGCCCCAGAGACAGACATATGTGTGAGACCAGACCAAATCAGCTGAGCCCATGTGGGATCAGCTGAACCATGCAGATTGATGAGAAATAAATTTTTATATGCCACTGGAGTTTTATAGTTGTTTGTTATGCAGCAATTTTGTGACTATAGCTAACTGGTTCAGTATTTTTTTTTTAATATAGAAGCTAAACTGGCCTTTATACCCTCAAAGAGTGGTAGAAAAGAATAGCATGCTTGGCAAAACTTCCCTTCTCATATCCATGGCAGACATCACTAATCGATCACCAAATTTTTCCTTGCTGAGTCCAAATCTAGCATCCTTCTTATATGGGGGCACCTCTTCAAACTCTCTTGGCTCCTGTCTCTGACTCTAGCCATGGCTATGGTGATGAGCTCCATGCAAGCTTCGACCAGCTTCACACAGTGCAACCGACAGCACCTCACCTCACACCTGTAAGATGCACCGCTTCATTTCTGCCCTGGGGCTTCTCTGGCACTATGACAGGACACTCACAAAAACCATTGGGCACCCATGGATGCACAGCCCTATGTGAGAGTCAATACACCATGGGACAGTCTCTTACCAATGGGGGACAGAACCCAATGGATAAATGTTTCCCCTTTCTTCTCTTGGAAATGGTTCTAATGTGCATTTCATAAGGCTTCTCCATGGTCCTCACAGGCCTGGCACCTTGTTACCCGTGTGGTGGCCAGCACAGTAGCACACCCTGGTAACAAGTCTCCCTTTTTCCAGTTTCTCTCCTCCTGTCCCTAGGTCACCCTTCAGAACGAACTTGCACATAAGCCTTTGTGTCAGGCTCTAGTTTTAGGGCATGCCAAGCTACGGCCTTCTCACTAATGTGCTCCAGGCAGCTCCTATTAATGGATGGCAGTTGGAAGGCTGCCTTGGATGGTCAGGCTTGTGTCCAATCATCGAGAAAATGGGCTCAACTCCGTGAAGGTCATTCATTGTGCCCTGATGCCTGCACTCTGGACTTACCTGCCTGCAGCAGGGGTGTGAGGGTAGAGAGCGACTTGAGCCTCTGTAGCAGGGAGCCCTGCCAGAAGGCCTCCATGTCCACGGGGGCTGCGTCCAGCAGAGGGTCGATGGCTAATGCCAAGCGATTCATGAAGGCCTCGTATTTGGGAAAGGCCTGGAACAGAGTTCCACGTCAAGGCCCCAGTGCCTAGAACCCTAGAAGGACATTGTCCCCATGCTCTGCCCTCCATGCCGCCCCCATGTGGCCTGCTGCTCCTTAGCCGAGCCTCCGTGGTTCCTCAGGGTGCATGCCCAGCACGGCTCAGTGTGGCTGTGCCGAGCTACTCCCAGTTCTAGGTCTGTGTGTTGGTGTCAACACGAGGGGAAGTCAGAGAAAGCCTGCGCAGTAGGAGAGCCACCGGGTGGCAGCAGGGACAAGGGGTTAACACTGGCCAAGACCAATAGTCAGCCCCAGAAAACTGGCAAGTATCCCTAGGATGTGGTCCCTGTGATAAACCAGAAACCGCTTAAAAGTTTCTTTCTTATCTCCCGTCTGTCCATATATTACCGATATAAGTAAGATTTCTTTCCCTGTATTCCAGCATGCTGACTGTTCGTGCCTGGTCTGCAAATCTCCCATGTCCTCTCATCATAAGCAAGGGCAGCAGCCAGCATCCCTTCACCCCACAAGTTTCCACAACAGAATCCATTTGGACAGCCTGGTGAGGACACCCACTCCTCCGTCACAGAACGGCTGCAGGAGCAGAGATGGATGCCCGTGCTGCTAGAGGCCTTATCTTAATTTTCAGCCCAGAGGTTTTAATTTTTGGTTCATCTAGACTCACGGATATACCCATGGAATTTTAATAACTGTTACATAAAGAAAAGTCCTGTGCTGAAGGACATTTGAGAAGTCTTGATAAAAAAAGTTAAACAGCTTTCTCTGCAGCGGGCCTTTAACACGACAACGTGCAAAGACAAAGCCAGAATTCAGGCTCTTGACTTTCCACAATGGGCTGTCACCCCTGCCTCCTGCTAGTGGTCAGGAGCACTCAAGGTCACAGCCACTGTCTCATAGGCCGAAGGACCCGACCTTGTCCTGAATCCTTTCTAGTGCACCTGAGATGAGCAGGATTTGGAGAAGAGGATGTAAGCAGTGGCTCCCAACCCACTGCACAAAGGAAACACTTTTTAAAAAAAGCAAAGCTCCCCAGGTGATTCTGATTGTCAGCCAGGTTTAGAGATTGCTGGTTGAAGACATATATTGTGTGTCTGTGGTTCTCTTGGTCTTACCCAACAGGAGATCAACACAATGAAAAGCAACACATTGATTGTATTAACCTAGATTCTTCTTATAAAAATGTCTCCACCAAGATGTGAGTTAACGCTATGCCTTCAGCTTATATTTCGGCATAGTATACAAAAAAATAGCCATTCAAAGAATCTTTTTATATCTGCAAAACCAGTCATGCCAGGCCCATTACACTCAATAACTACCCAACAAATTCCTTATAATGCAACCCAGAGGAAAAAAAATGTGCACTTTCCATCATATGTGGGCACTTCCTTGCACCAGACCCATACGCCATTGTGGACAGTTTCTTTCCTTGGGCTGTCAGGGGATTCATGCCAAATCGAATGAACATTTATCACAATCTCTAGTCCTAAATCCCTGATCCAGTTCATTCTGTCCTTATGTGTCTCTGATCTGCCCTCTATCCTTCTTTTTGGCCGTCGTGTGCTTTCATAGTGATAACCACTTAGAGTTCCGTGTGAAAACAGGAGCAATAGAAAGCACAGTGTACGTACACACACCAGTGGATTCCCTTTTGATGTTTGGCAGGCAGAGGCCACCTGAACAGTGGCTTCATATTGAACACGCATGGGTTTGAGGGGTTCCGGTGCCCACTGGTCTCAATCACTGACTTCCATCCCCTTTTCTGCACAGTGCCCAGGATCAGAGGCTAGCGCAGGCTGGAGCCCTCTTAGGCCTTTGGCCATGTGCTCTTGGACAAGGCCAGCCAGGCCCATTTCCTTTCCAGAGCTGCCCCCAGAGGGAGGTGAGGGAGAAGGAGATCAGTTACTAGTCAGTTTCCCTACCTGGGCATCTTTCTGTGAGAACTGGGCGATCTGCTTCTGGTTTTCTACCATGTCTGTGCCCAAAAGAAGGGACCTGGGCACCTTACTCGTTGTGCCTTCTTCCAGCATGGGGGTGAAGGAGTAGGGGTTTCGGAGATGAAGCCTCAGCCCGTGTTTCTGCAGAACACAAGCACAAGCAACATGCGAAGGGATCTGTGGCCTCTGCCCTTGACCCCTCTCTGATTATGCTTTAGACCATTTAGGTACCTGCATACAGGTTCCCAAGGTCCTGATTCCGATTTTTTTAATGTAAGTATCTAAAACGCCCTCTTGCCCAGGCACTCTATGGCAGACCATACCATACCACATTATGCCATGCCATACCACACAATACTACACCACACCACATCACGCCATACCACACCATACTACACCACACCATGCCATGCCGTACCACACCATGTTACATCACAGCACACTATGCTACACCACGCTACCCTGTGCCAGGAACTATGCTGGGGTTTACAATGGTTACCTCACGACAACTCTATAAATATACCACCCTCATTGTGCAAATACAATACCCGACACTCAGTGAAGATAAATAACTTGTCCAAGGTGACATTGGGCGGTGGATCTGGGTTTCAAAACCACATCTCTGTGACTCCAAGCCCAGGCTCTCAGCACTAGTCTATCACTGCCTCCGCTCCAGAGATAAATAATTAAAATTTGGAAAAACACAATAAAGCAACGATTATGTGAAAATCCATTCTTACAAGGTAGATAAATTATTCACATCAAAAGATGTTATTTACTTTGCAGACTCATGTACTCCAGGGTCACCTTAAATGGAAGTTCCCTTGATGCATTTAAAATGTGATTTGATTTACAAATACTCGAGTAGCACATGAAACTTTTCAAGAGCACATCATATATATATATATATATATATATGGGGGGGAGAAGAATCATGTAGAAATTTTCTGTTCTATGATTCTTAGTTTTCAGAAGCTAGATTTTTCAAAAGAAGGGTCTACCCACACACCCAGCACCACAGTGGACGCTGTACATACTTGGTGTGTTGGCAAACTGCCTTTAGCTACAGTCTGGTGTGGACTGAAGAGACCCATTCTCAGGCCTGGTTGGTGATAGGTTCTTCCTCTCTCCCCTCTGTCTCTCTGTCCCCCTTTCTCTTAGGGGCTCAAAGAATAATTTCTTTAGTGGTTTTCTATAGTTGTCTAGTTCAGAGAACTCATTTACATGAACGCGTTCCAGCAGCCAAAGAGCTGTGAACAGAAGCTCAAGGTCTTATTAGTTTCACACTTTCAATTTAAAGTTGGTGCTGAAGTGCATGGCACCTTCTTGTACAGGTGGCACCGAGGACCTTTTTCTCTGAGTGGAGGGTGACAGAGGCAACAAGCGGGTAGTAGCTAAGCTGGCTCCAGGAATGTGGTGACTGAATTTCTAAAAGAGGCAGCGAAGGATGAAAGGAATATGAAAGGGTAAGGGCAGAGTCGGGCAAGCCTTGGGACCAAGGTTAAGTTGACTAAGAGAAGTCAGCAGGGACAGACCGGGAATTCTCAGGATCCCCTCAACACAGCCCAGAGCCAGAAAAGGTGAAAGTCCCTCCGACTTCCTGCTCAGGCTGCCAAGAATGGTAACAGGATTTAAAGTTTAACGGGGCTTGTGTCCTAAAGGCAGCTCTGCAAACTCAGAGGCTCAAGGGTTCAGGCCGGTTCCCTGTGAGGGCCAGACAGGACACCAGGCGGTGATGGGGCAGGGCTGGGGACTGTCCCATGCAGGTTATCAGACAGTGCTGCATGGGGGAACATGGGCCTGATGTTGACAAAGTTCATGCATCAAAAGTAGCCCGATTTTTATGTGAAATTTCTCGATTTTTAAGACACAAAGGTGTGCTAGACAAAACCTATCTGTGTGGCTATGTACCAAGGTGGTGACCGTGTGAGACAGACAAACTCTCAGGTAGAAGAGACACATCAGATGCAGGAAATCACCACGGGTATATAGTAGGGAGCCTTCACCCCAGGGTGGGAACATGGAACTGCCCCCCAACGCCATCAGGCTACAAGGTGGGGGCTCTACCTTCAGCTCCAGGTCAGTGTAAATCCGCGGCCTCAGCAGGCTGAGAAGGTAGGATGCTCGGGAGAACTTAAACCCTGAAACCGAATCAGTGAAGAGGGTCACCAGTGGTCACCAGTGGTCACCCCCCTGCTGTCCCCCACACCACCTCTTGGGGCTCACCTGGGATGATCTCCTCGGTGACAGCAGCACCCCCGATTACGTGGCGTCTCTCAAAGATGGCTGTGTTCACCCCCAGTCTCTGCAGGTAGGCAGCCTGGAGGGGCACACAGGGCCCTCCTTTAGTCCTGGGGGCTGACCTGCAGTCTGAGAGTCGTCACTACAGGGCCAGCATGTCACCCCTCGACTCATGCTGTTCCCCACTCTGGGAATGCCATTCTCCTCACTTCTCCCCGTAAATTCTCACTTTCTCAATTGTCTTCTGAGAAGCAACATGACTGTTCCCGCCCCTCCACTTCCCAGCTGAAGGTGACCTTCCCTCCAGCCAGGCCCAGGTGACTCTGAACTCAGGCGCATCTCCTCCAGGCGGGGTGAATCTCATCCCTCTTCACACAGTGAGCTTGCCTGAGAGTGCCGAGCCAGACCACCAGCTTCTACCCCTTTCTCTCCTTCTGCTGGGGCAGCCTCAGCACCTACTCCACCTGGCTTCCGTGACCTCACGTGTGAAAATGGGGCTGATGATAATAGCACCCACTTTGCCTGCTTCGTAGGTCTGCTGTGAGGATTCACTGAGCCAGTTCCTGGCACATAGAACGTGCTCAATAAATGAAGTTATGATTACAGAACAGTGTTATTTGGGAGAACAAATGATGCAGGGTTGTTTTTTTTTTTTTGTGTGTGTGTGTGTGTGTGTGTGTGTTTTAGCTGAGCCATCCTGCCACCTGTTGGCAGCTCAGCGGTTGCTCAGCTCGGGCAGGGACTCGAACCGCTGTTGCTCAGAGCTCAAACTCTTGAGCGAGCTCTTAACCAACTGAGCCACTTGGCCGGCCCATGATGCAGGAGTTTTATTAATTTTTCTCTAGCACTTAGTGGGAAATCAATCAACATTTCTTGAATTGAACTAGTCCTGAGTCTACAGACCTATATGCTGGTTCTCCTCCCCGCTCCAAGGTGACAACAGGGATGGTGTAGCTCAGAGTTCAGACTTTTAAAAATGTTCACTTGGGAACCAGTATGTGCCAGCCACTGGCGTGCATCATCTCATTGAATCCAGCACCATAGAGTAGGCACCAAGGTTCTCCCCATTTCACAGATGAGGAAACGGAGGCTCAATGAAGTGAATAGCTCTCCTCAGGCTATTGGACCCAGAATCTATACTCTTGACACATCTTAATGAGAAACGGAAAAGGGCAGCCTTGACATTGGGAAGCTGGCCTGGGCCTCAGAGGTTAGAATGAGCACCTCAGACCAGGGTAGTCTGAGAACATATAGACCGACACAGAGCAAGCCCCCTTCACTATTTTGGCAGAGCACACAAAAAAATACCGGGTCTCAGGGTCGCCCGCAAAATACCAAAGACTCCCTCTTGGGGCAAGTGACTGCTGGCACCAGGTACCACTCTCCTCACACTAGTCCCCCCTCCCTACAGACAAGATTTATCAGGATGCCTGGTCACAGTGTTGTCCCACTTTCTGACAGGGTCCAATCTAGAGCAACCCCCCACTTTTTTAGACTTTCCCTGAGCTCATCCCACCAAGAATGGGTTCCTCCTAACACCCCTCACTGAGCCGCCACATGGTTCCCCATGGTGTGAATTCTCCTTGCTGCAGGGAGTCACCACCCAACTCGATGAACGGCAGAGGGTACCCAGGTGGGCCTCGGGCTGGAAACCTCCAGCCGTGAGTCACCGTTTGTGTGAGGCTGTGTGTGTGCCAGACCCTTGATGCACATTACCTATTCCACTCACAACAGCTGAGGCTGGGCGTCTTCACTCAGATTTTACCGTGGCTCAGAGAGCCTGAGTTATTTGCATTACCCCCCAGAGCTGGGAGACAAACCCAGGTTTATGTGAATATCAAACTGAGGTTTTAAATTACTGATTGGTTGATTTATAGAATGTCCCCTGTAAAGTGTTCAAGTGAAATGAAAGGGTAAGTCAGGGAAATGACTCAGATTCAATGCATGTCTCACAGGCCCTGTATTGATGTCCTAAGTCCCCTGTATTGATACTCTTGAGCAACCACGGCTTCAGGAAGATGTTCTGTGCTGGTCTCGTGGCCTGAACACCCGCTAGCACACACCATGGCCTCCTAGTGGTACACGGGCCTCAGGTTTGAGAAACACGGCCTGAGGGTGACCCTGGCCGATCTCATCCTGGGATCCCCTCTGCTGGACTGTCTTCCTTGCTGTCTCCAGGGTACATGTGGGACCGTGTAGCTGCTGTGTACTCCAGGCTGGTACATGGCGTAGGCCCAGCTGGGAGCACAGGGCTCTGCACACAAAAACTGCCCATAATCTGGAATCATAGGGACCCAGCCTCAGCGACCTGATTCCCAGGCTCCAACACGTCTCCCAGGCTATGCCAGTTACACACTTCTGCACCTTTTCATCATCCTGCCTCTGAAAGTTCCCTGACTCTCCCAAGGCCATGGGAGAAATCCACCTGCATTAAGGAGAAGAGAGGAGAGGAGAGGAGAGGAGAGGAGAGGAGAGGAGAGGAGAGGAGAGGAGAGGAGAGGAGAGGAGAGGGGAGGAGAGGAGAGGAGAGGAGAGGGAGCCCCTGGCAGCCTCCCTAACTACTGCATGTGTCCATGTGGCCCAGCCACTGGTCAGCACGAGAGACAGGAGACGAGCCTGCCTTTCTTCTCGCCTGTGGCTGCTGAGAGCCACATCCCCGGGGGCCAGAGAAGCAAGGCAGAGGGGGAGGTACTCACAGCCACCAGCCCGTTGTGACCTGCAACGAGACAAGGGAGAAGGGAGGAAAGCAACACTGGTCAATGGGCAGACGGACACATTCCTCGAGGAGTGCGGCTACCCATCCCTGACCCCAAACCTGCGACGATGTTGGAGAGGTGGCCTTGGAGGACCCCGCCAAACCTGTACCTGGATGTTGGAACAGCATCTAGCTCGATGCCATAAAACACCTGGTCTGTGGGGAAGCAGAAAACCTTGGTTCTTGCCCTGGCTTGAAAAACATCCTGTTATTTGTCTTGGTCAGCAGCTCCATGCTGGAGTGAGGGTCAAGGAGAAATCCACGGTATTCAGACAAAAGCTGTCCCATGAAGCCTCGTATCACGGGGCTTCTGTCGCGTGGGGATGACAGGTGACTGTCGGTGGGAGTGTCCCAGTTTACTTGGCAGAGAAGAGAAGGGAAGCATGGCTGATACGCTGATGTACCAGGAAATGTACCAGGAAATGTACCAGGAGAGCGGGTGCGCTGATGCCAGACATCCCTGTCTGCCATGGAATCACTGGCCGCCGGGGGAGTGCTGGTCACGTGGACAGCTGCTGTCAAGCCTGGCTTATTTTGCCAAGTGTGGTTCACAGTAGTGCCCCAGAAGGCTGTAGGCACATGGGTTTGTCTTTATCAATCCCCAGTACTCCCAAAATAAAATAGCAGTTCAAAATGAAGTAACTAAGCACATACAGTTTCCATTTATCTTACATATGACGTTTCTTTCTGAAAATCGTAGGAGGGCTGCCTCTGGGCTAAGAGGCCTGAACTTGGCTTGGGGTCCCATGTTCCGCGCCAAGCCCACTGGTAGTGAGTGCCTCTCCAGCTTTGAGAAGCTTCAGGATCACCTGAGAACTGCTGTACGCGCCCAGATCCCCAGACCCCTCCCCAGAGTCTGCTCAGCAGGCTGGGGGCGGGGCCTGGAACGACTTCTCACAAGCTCCCAGGTCATTCTGATGCCAGCGGCCTCAGTCCCACACATGGGGCACACGGGCACTGGGGCTGAGCGAACTCCTCTTTCTTTACTCTCAGAGATGGTGCAGCTGCTGATGGAGAACCCGCACTGGGCAGAGAACAGGCCCAGCTCCTTTGCAGGGAGGGGGGGTCCGGCCTTGTCTGCACCACTTGGCACGTGTCTCTCCTTCGTGAGAGAAGGTTGCTCTGCATTTTCAGAGATGTCAGAAGATGACTGTGTTCTCTGAGCAGCAACCCGAACCCCGTGTTGACTCAAATAAAATGCTTAACCGATAATTTCACAAACATCCATAAATAGGGGAGCAGCAGTGACCCACATGATGAATTTCTTCACGGCTGAGATGGTTTTGTTTTAAATTTTGCACACAGAAACTCCCAGCGTTTTAGAGGTCATTGAGCCCACCTGTCATCCATGAACGTAATCTTGACAATGGAGGTTTTCAAGCCTCTGTGACCACGATCCACAGGAAAAAAATGCATTTTATGTTTCATGAGCTAAAAGTAACTCTTATCATGTGATAATCAGGTGATGCTTTATTTGATTAGATTTCATTTTATTAAAGTAATGCTGGTGGATATGCTTTTACATGCTTTTGAAAATTCTCTTAAGAAAGGTTTAAAAATATTGCTGAGCGGGACTCATGTATAGATTGCAACCTGCAGTTTGAAAAGCCCGCCTCTCAAATACATACAGTGTAAGGGCTGCCTGTCCTGAGCTCAGTCTGGCTTCTGCTGTTTCCCAGGCGTGGCCCCGGGGAAGCCAGTGTAACCGTCAGGAGCCTCCAGCTTCTTCATATGTAAAACAGAGAGGATACTGGGAACTGTGCAGTGTTGCAGAGAGTGTAACTGATAATATATGCGAAGCCCTGACCCTCAGCAGACCGTCAATAAATGGTAGCTATTTGTCCTTTAATTAGTGCTGCTTATAAAACTTGGAAAACTGATAAAGGCTTCCAGGCAACTGGGTTCCGGTTCAGTCATCACACATAAGCCCACAAATGCACAAACACACCTCCAGAGGACAAAGGTGGAGGATCTGATGTCCTAGGAGGCTCCTCCCTCCACCATTCCCCCACCCCCCGTCCTGGCTGAGCCCTCCTGTGGCTTCTGGTGACCTCCTCTTGCCCCTTGAAGGGGCCTGAAGCTGCAGGCTCAGCTAACCTTCAGGCCTGACCCCTGGGATCCTTAGGCAGCAGGCACATGGGGCTCTGGAGGGAGGCTGCCGTGAACGTGGTTTCTAGGCTGTGGGCTGCAGCCACCTGCATCGGATCCACTCAAAGTGCTGATTAGACGTGCTGACCTCCAGAGTCACCTTCAATCCTCAGACTCTAGATCACCAGGCCCGGGGGCCGGGAACTGCATTTGAAGTAGCTCCTGGGTCATTCTGAAGCCCATTGAGTCAGATGACTAAACCAGGGTCATCTTCAGGGTGGATCCCAGGTAATGGTATGACTTTAGAGATGCAGAGATAAGACCTAGAGTCAGCCTCCTTGCCAGGAAACAGCAGGCGTGAGCTGTCATCAAGGGCAGCTGTGGGGGTCCTCTGAGACGGAGAGGCCTGGGAGCTTCCATTCACTGAGCTGCCAGTGGGGGCTGGAGCTGGGCTCCCTCGCGTGTGAACGGTCATCAAAACGCAGCCATTGTTAAAATGTAAGTTATATAAACTTACAAAATAAATTACATTAAAAACAAAGGTAGTGAGTACTCAAAACTTGTTGCTGCCTAATTGTTTTGCCACATTTTACTATTATCTATTTTACTGCGGTTATTTACTTCTATACATAGGTATAGTGGCCGATGCCCTGTTGTGTCTCTCTCCCAAATTCCCAGTGACATCATGTTGGTAACTTGAAAAAGGCCATGGTGGGGGTACTTACACCATGGAAATCAGCAAGCATTACCTATCAGGGCTTGAGTTAGTATTCTGTTATTAGACTTAAGAAAGTGATGGGAGAAAACGCTAATAATGCAGATTAAACTCAACACTGTTTGTGCCTGTAGCTGTTACATTGTGAATAGCACAAAACATGGAGGAAATGTTCTTCTAGTATTCAAACAAGATTATCTGATTGGGGAAAGTCAGCCCCATCATTGAAGACGGAGTTAAATTTGGACATAAATCCTCAGTTTCACATTTGTTCTACTCTTTAAAGTAAATGAAAATATCAAGCAACATTCCTTTTGAAACTGTCCTCATTTGCCAATTGGAACCATAGGTTGGCTACTGAGTTTGGCAAAAATCACAGAAAATTCGGTGAGAATCACTGGCTACCTGGACTTTAGAGTTTTGTTATTTTATCTGTAAAAGTGTGCTACGCTTCTTTTATTTCAGCATTTCTAATAAACTGATGCGTGTGTATGTACATACACATTTTCCCCGGGAGGGGTGACTGTTAAACCTTTACCGCACACGACTACTCTCAGTGCATCCAAAAATGAAGAAATGCCAACACACGATGCAGCTTTGAGGATGTACAATGAGCATGTTCTTCCTTCAGTCCTATCATCATCTGTATAAACCCAGTTGGAAGTAATGTCAAAAGCTGAAATTGGGGTCCTTTGTGAGTGTGAATGGGAGGCCCCGAGAAAAGGCAGCCTGGTCTGGGCCACACTCACACAGCCACCTGGCAGAATTGGGTGCTCTGCAGCCAGGGGGTCAGCAACGCATAGCAGGACCACTGCAGCAGATCCCCACATGCACCAGGTGTGCAAGGCAGTGGGGGCTGTCACCCTTCGCAGACATGCGCTAGGTTCTCCAGGATGCGTTTCTATTTTTTCCTAACTTCTCTTTATGAAATGCCTTGTTTCCTTAGGGTTTGGGTGACCTTAGTGGTGAAGAGGTGGCCAGAACTCAGGGCACTTGAAGGGGCTGAATTTCACAGATCTGTTGTCCTAAGGTTCTTCCAACCCTGACAATCTAAGAATGTGGTGGATTTCATAGGAGATACAGGGAATTCCGTGAGTTCACCTAATTTTCCCTGGTCTTTCCAGTTGGAAAGACCCAAGCCGAGAGAGGGCAAAAATCTACCCTAGACCACACAGCAAGGCGACAGCAGAGCCAGCCCCAGAACCTCGGTGCCTGTTCACAGACTGGTGGGCTTTCCACCACAGCCCCTGCTCTTGCCCCAACTCCCGGTAATCTTGTGCCAAGAGGGAGGGGAGGGGCTTTGGAAAGGGTCCCTCCAGGCGTCTGAGCAGGGCTGCCCTCCCCAGACCTCAGCCTTGGCTCAGCCCGATTTACCTGCTCCTATCACCACTGCATCATACTCAGGCTTCAGGCGTCCCTTGGCTTCCCAGTGAGCTCGTCTCCAAGCAGGGCAGGGAGCACTCACGGCCCTGCCGAGACCTCGGCCATTTGCAGCCATTTCTGCCCAGGACTAGGCCAGGGATTTGCTTGCAATCAGCTTTTTGTCTCCTCCAGCAGGGGGAGGAGCAGGGGGAAAACAGGAAGAGAGGAGGAGCTGCAGTCCAGCTGCCATGCTTGGCCCTGGGCCAGGACTAAACAGAGGCCACTGAGCTGCACACGCCCCCCATGGAGTCCACACGGGCAGAGTTGAGGGAGGTTGCCTGTTAACTGGGCTGAAGTTGTGTGGCCTCCAGGCCTTTGGATAATAATCTCCATGCTGGTAATTCTCTAGCCCTGTATCAGCTGTGCAGCCTCTCACACGTTCCAATTTTACAGACAGGGTAGCGGGGCCCTGAGGCTCAGACGAGGGTGTGAGCAGTAGATGCTCTGGGGGAACGGAGTTCCAAAGGCCCCTCTTCTCCCTGTGCTGTCCTGCTTCTCATTAAGGAATTAAACATCCGGGGTGTGCTGGAGTGGGAATCCTAAGTAAAAGAGACAGACCCAGGTCTGCCTCTGCTCCCATGCTGTCTTGCCAGCCTACATGGAGGTGAACTGCTCTACACCCACAGTAGGCTTAGGGAGCCTGCTGGCCGAACACCCCCTTAGTGTCACCGTGACCAGGGCCTCAGCAAAGCTGCAGGGAGGGCCCCAAGTCACTGGGCCCTAGGGAACTGTGCGTTCTCTCTCTAATGCTTCCACACCATGAGCATGCTAGGCTGCTGCAGGAGCTGATGGGCTTGGGGGCCAGTTCACTCGTAACTCTTGGGGTTCACCTTTTTCTCGTGAAGGCCTGGACATTTCTCTTCTATCCTTTGGCACCTTTCCCATTTTCCAAGACTGCTCAGGGATTAAAGATCACATCTGTAAACACCTTCAGCTAAAGCGCTTTCTCGCTAGCTTGTGGTCTGTCTTGAATCAGGAGCCCCTTTGTTCTCTGCCCATTAGTTAACAGGCTAGGCCGTTTCCCCTGGTAGGAAAAATGCACCCCAAGGGCTGGGAGTGTCTGTACTGCTCCAACATCTGTCAGTGTTCTAGAAACCTGCGGTTAGAAACGCATCCCCGAAGTGGGAGAATATATGGAAAAGGTGTTTCTGAGGACCCTTCTACTCTCAACTCAGACCCTCCTCCACACCACACCACACAAGGTTCACACTGCCCATGCATCTCTGCTCAAATCCCACTCAGGATGTTCACCCTGGTGTTACTTAACATTGAAAAACTTGGGGGATTGGTTAAAATGGACACGTCAGATCATGCAGCTGCTACAAATTAGGGGAAACTATTTGATGACAAAAGTGGGGACCCTAAATGGTTGGGGGCTTCCAGACTTAGTATTTCCCCTTTGTACTCTCTTGTATATTCCACATTCAATATTTTAAATTTCTACCCATTATTAAGAGGAATGTAGTCCTGGTCACCTCAGGTGACTGTCCCTCACTGCCTCCTTCTGAGGACTTTAGCCCGAGGTGTGGTTCTAGTTCCTTCAGTACCTCTGTCCCCCCAGGCTGTCCCCTTAACGGGAAAGAACAGTCTTCTTGGCATGAATTTTCGCTCCTGACTGAAGACAGAAGGCCCAGCTGCTGTCGACATGTCAAGAATGAGCCCACACTGTGCTGCCTTCTGTCACGGTGCTTCTCCCGAGACCCGGTGCTCCGATGGTCTCTCGTCCTCGTGTCCATTGTGGGGTGGGGGCTTCTAGGGTAGAGAAGGGGCTGCACTTCTCGGGCAGTGGTTCTCAATCCAGGGCACACCAGGATCACCTGGCAGGGTTTAAAAAACCTCAAAGCCTGGGAATCTCAGAACTGAGTACACGAATCTCTGGGGGTGGGGGCGGGGCGGGAGCTGAGAACTGTGCGGGGCACCAAGAGGCCCAGACTCACCAAGGCTTCTTGGCACCAAGAGTCTGGGGACCCAGGCATGTTTGGCTTGAATAATACTGATAACCATAACCAATGTTTATTGAGCACGTGCTGCGTGTCTGGCAGCCCTCACCAACACCTGAGAGGGAGGGGCCATCACTCTACATGTGGGGAGACAGGCGTAGAGTTTAGGAAACTGGCCCAGCGTCGCAGATAGGAAGTGGCAGTGTAGCACCTTTCATTTGGGGAGGAGACGCCTTCCTGAGGGAGCTCTTCCTCCACTCCAACAGCAGAGAGAGGGTGTCTGAAGACACCTGCGGACACTGGGGACTTCCTGTCTCCTGGGGATAACCGGAGAGCAGCTCTGAAAGAGGGGCTGCCCAGCTCTAACTCACAGCCACTGTTCTTTTAAGGAGACCAAAAGCACATCCGGGCCTCCTCCTCCTCCAGAGGGAAGAATTTGGGGGTTTGGTCATTGCCTGGAGTGGAGGCTGCTCTAGGTGAAGTTTCTTTAAGAAATCCTGGGGCTGTCCTGGTGACTGTCCCATCCTCAGGTGGCCACTATGGAGGAGAGGAGGCTCTTGCTGTGGGGATGTCTGCAAGTGGGGGTGGGGGCTGGAGAGCTGGGGTGCAAGCAGGCTGCACCAGGGCAGTGCGCCCTGGCCTACAGCAGGGGGACACGGGACGCCTCCCACAGGCGCCGGGCCAGCTCGCCGACCTGTTGCACCAGCATGTCTATGGGGATGACGGACAGGTGGAGGGCCAGCAGCTCATGGCACTTGACAGCCTCAGCTGGGTGGCCCTTGCTGTAGTAGCGCAGGAGTTTCCTGGAGGAGGAAAAGGGAAAGGACAGGATTCAGGAGCAAGGCCACGGCATGCCCTGCAAAGCCAGGGGCCTCTCCCAGGACCATGCAGGCTCAGCCCCAGGCCACCGTGCTCCATCTTTTTGGGTTAACCTTGTGTGGGGTCTGTTGGCCACAGTGTCCTAAGAATGCCACAGAGTCAGCAGGGGAGCTGCGGGGCCCCCATGCAGACATTTGCAGATGCTGCCAAGAGGGTGCCAACAGCCAACCAAATGTGCTCCCCACTCGCTTCCTCTCTCTCCGGATGCTAGGCTAGGCTATGAGAAGCTTCTAACAAGGGTTTCCAGCTTCTTGGCGGGAGCATTCCTGGAGGAGGAGCTGCTCCCCTACAGGGGAGCTGGCACTCATGACCCAATACTGGTGCACTCACTGCCCCCAACAGCCTTCCGAATCGGCATCACCTGTAGTAGTCTCCTCCTAGGATGCCCACGGGAGCCGAGTCATCAGAAAGGACAGGCACCTCGATTATCTGGAGTTTGTACCCCTGAGGAAGGAGGAAAAGGGTCTTGGTTGGAGAGGTGGTGGGTGTGGTGGGCAGGGCATGGGCTTGGGTCAGACACCGGAGTTCAGGGCTGGCTCAGCCCCGCCTGGTGTGTGCTTGCTGGTGGGAAAACATGTGGATCTCTACTTTGTTTCCTCATCTGTGAAGTGGGAATAACAATAATCCCCAACAAACATTAGAAATAATATTGGGTTGTTGGAAAAGTCATGACACATTTTTGCAACGAAAAATATAGAAAAATACGTCATGACTTTTCCAACAACTCAATATATATAAAGTTCTGAGCATCGTGCCTGGCACATGGTAGCCCTCATTCCCATCAACGAGAGGACCTGGGTCAGTGACCAGCACGCGCTCAGGAGGGCAGCCAGGAGGGCGAGCCGGGGAGGTGGCACTAAGAGCAAAGTGTTATGACGAGGCCCAAGTCTCCCTTTGAAAACGATGGAACTTCCCAGCAAAGGATAAAGAGAAGAGAGTCAAGACCCACTGGGCACCCAGTGTGCGCCAGGCACGCTCACACGGGCAGTGGGGCACGCCCTGCAGGTGAGGAGGTGGACTTGGCAGTGGTTAAGTGGCCACCCACAATGGCACAGCAGCCAGACTTCACACCGGGTCTTCCCACCACACAGCTCTATCTCAGCCTATGACCCTGGGGAGCCAGCCATGCACACGAAACCATGTCTTGCCCTAGAAGCTAAGGTCAAGGTCATATACACACTGGGCACTTCTGAGGGCACAGAGCAAAGATGGGAGCTTGAAGGTCAAAAGAGCTGAGTCTGGGACCTGGCTCTGTCACCTATGACTTCGGTGGCCCTGGCCATGGTGTTTGATCTCCAGGGCATCTGTGTCTCCACCTGTGAAATGGCGTCAATGATACCTGCCCCAAACCATTGCATGGAGCTTGTGGATGTGAGGTTGTGAGAACAGCGGTGAGAGAACCCCAATAGCTACACTTCACTGTGGAAAGGGAGAGCCGTCACCACAGGGTCACCTTTCTCCAGGAGCAAAGAGAGGGTAGGACACGAGGAGGGAGAGGTACGGAGAACGGGGACCAAAGGCACGTGAGGGGTAGAAGTAATGACCCTTAGAGAGCTAGAATAATGACTAACGGTGATAAGTGAGGAGAAAACAGAGAAAAACAGGAAAAGAAAGCAAAGGAAAGAGGAAAGACACAGGGAGACAGAGCGAGACAGTGAGGCAGAGCGAAGGAAAGGGGCCAGGGGAAGACAGACAATTCCCCATGCCCTGGGCGCACGCTGTCCTAACAGTGAGGTCTAGAAAACAGGCCAGGAGGCAAGAGACCTGAGCCACACTGTCAGCGTCACCCTGGGCAGGTTGGCTCATTGCTTAGAGCCACACCGTGTCCCCCGCTACCGTGGGAATGACAATGTGCCATGCTTTGTAAGTGCAGCGGATGATGACCAGGCACCGCTGAGGAAGCACTTGACCTGAGCAGGCCTTCTCACATGGGCATGCGTCTGTCTGTTCACACATCACCTGGACGCTGCCTTGAATGACAGCATGAGTTTTTCAGACAGCTGGGTGGAGGGCTCACAGAGTCTGTGTGAAAACAGGACCTCTGAGCTCTGGATCCCAGCCAGCTGTGCCTATCTGTCAGCTCCACCAGGGACGAGAAGAGATGAAGAGACAGATGGAATACGGTCCAGAAGAACGGCATCCAAGCCTCACAGGAAGGGAAAGCATTTCAGGACTGTGCCGCCCGTGGCCTGGCCACACCCACCATCTCGTTCTGGAACCACAGGAAGTAGGAGCAGTAGAAGTCCCCGTCCTGGAACAGCAGCGTGGTGTAGCCCTTCTGCAGATATCTGCGAGCCAGTCGGATCAGAGACCAGACCTGGGGAAAGGAGGAGCGCATGCTCACGGCTGCCCTGCCGGCAACGGCCTGCGGGGCGACCCTCTCCCCACGGCAGGGGCAGAGCGCAGGCTCTCGTCTCCGGGGGAAGAAAAGTCCTCAGAAGAGGAGCTCCTCGGAGGCCCGGGGCCTGTCTGCTCTTTGCCCCCAGTGCCCCGGTACAGCCCTGGCTCAGAGCAGGAGCTGAATAATAAATCCACGTTGGACGGATGGGTGGACTACCCCTCCAGTTACCGTGACAATAAAATATACATAAAAACACTTTATATAACTGCACTATACCCTCCAGCCATAAACTAGTAAACTCACCACTCAGGGCAGAAAATGACCAAAGACACTGTTAATACAGGAGATGAAAGGGTAGCTGCCTGGAAAGCCCTCCTTGCTGTCTAGGGCCAGTCACTCCCCTGGTTCCCCTCCAGGCTGGGCACCTTTGGTATAGGTTCTATGCTGGGAAGGTGCTGGGGAGGTATTTAAACACGTTGAGCACCCTGATCCAGGCATGTCCTCTGCTTTAGGGGGCAAGTCCAAACTAGGGGTCCCCGAGGGGTCTGGTGGAAACAGTGCCCGAGGGACAGCATGCCTCACAGCCCCTCTGCCATGTTCTTGTCTAATTCAAGGACTTCCTCACAGCGCTTGTGACTGTGTGAGGAAGGCAGCAGGGACAGTTGGCTGCTCCACTTCCTGGGGCCAGGAAAAGGTGTGAGGTGGCTCTCACCAAAAAGCTGCGTAGAAGGCACACACGATTTACTCCAAACCTGACCACAACGTAATGTCTAATCAAATCTGCAAACAAATACATGGATTTGCTCTATCTTCAGGAAAGCAGTTTGACAATGTGTATCAATAACCTTAAAAACATTCCTCCCATTTGACTTAGTAATTACATTTCTGGGAATCCATATTGAGAAAATCATCAGAGATGAGGACAAAGATGGATGCACAAAGGTGTGTGCTGCGGAATTATTTATAATAGCGAAAGCCTGGAACAATGTAAATGTTCAACACTGGGGAAATGGCTAAGTAAATTATGTTACATTCGCATGATGGACTATGGTGGGGCTGTTAGAAATCATGTTTATAAAGAATTAATGACATGAGGAAATGCATCCGATACAAAGTGAAGTGAAAATGTGGTAAACACAACTGCGTAGACACAGAGCTCAACTGTAACAAGCTGCACAGAAAAGCAGTGAAAGAAACATACCGAGACAACCCAACTGTCTCTGCAAAGAGGGATGAGAAAGATGGCGCTGCTGCCGATGGTACCAGGAAATGAACCCGATCTCGATGCCATGCCACATACTGTGCTAAATATTTCACACACACCATCAGGCAATCTATAATAGTTCCATGACGTCAACAACATAACCATTCTCTCACAGATGAGGAAACTGAACTTCGACTAAGGAATGTCCCAGCCACAGAGCTGGTGACAGCCAGAGATAGGTTCCCAACACAGGACTTCCGTCACCCATCTTATGTTAGCCATGATATGCTTTCTTTGGATGCCAAAAAAAAAAAGTGTGTGTGTCTGTGTCTGTATCTAGTTTTTCAGAAAGCGGCAGAGGTCCTCCCGTCTCCCCACCAAAGATACTAGAAGAGTCAAAGAGAATAAAAGAGCCCTCAGAAAACGTTTCCTTAGTAGAAACCTCTCAGTTTTAAGTTCTGGTAGTCAAATTGATTAAACTGTTTCTAGTTTCTCTTTTAGCTAATTCAACAAATGCTTGTTGAGCATTTGTTTATGCTAGGCACTGTGTTAGGCAGGCCTTGGCTACTTCCTCCTCTGACCTTGCTGTCTAGGCTCTGTTGATCCAGGACATTAGCGAACACCCAGGAAGGTGCCGTCTGGCATCAGCTGAGGCCCACATGGCTTGGGGTGCTGACCGGAGCCCAAGGGTGAGAGAGACAAGCTGCTATTCTTAGGAGCCTACAGAGCTGGGTGCAGATGCTGACACAGGAGTAGGGTAGGGGTGAAGGTGGGGTGTGCTCCAGACCCTGGGGGAGCCCTGAGAGCAGGGGACGTCCTTCCAGGGCAGGGGTCAGGCCAACACGTCCCGTCTGAGGGGCAGGGAAGAATACCGGGGCCAGGCAGCAGTTACCTTGGTTTTGACAAAGGCAGCCAAGGGCCCCTTGCCTAGTTCTGATGAGGTCCTTTCACTGCTGCTGAGGGAAGGGGCCACCATCTGGCCGGTCGAGCGGTCCACATAGATGAAGTGCACCAGGCCTGGGAAGTCTTCTAGGTAGGTGAGGTCTGAGTTAAGGTGCTTGTAAGCCAGGGACTGGGAGGACGCTTCTCTGGCCCTGATCTAGGCTTCCAGCGAGGGTGGGCAGTGCAGCGGGAGGCCAGGCCCGCCCCGCTCACCCCACCCCACCCCACCCCGCCCCGAAGGTTTCCGCTTCAGCCAACCCCGGGGACCCCTTCTCCCAGATCTCTCTTTACCTCCTAACCCCCAACCCTGAGAAGTTCTGAGATGCAAATATGATAGATCCAGGGCACTAGAACATTTAACACAGGGCATTCTGGACCCAACAGGAACATGGTATGTTCTTAGGATTTTCATAGGAATGAGTTTAAATTATACACACAGTGAGGCTGGTGTGAGAGCAGAGCTACACAGCTAATGAGTGAGTCTAGCTGACCCCCCAACCCACACACCTCACCGTGATTTTATTCCATCTCTACACTTCACCTCGAGTGGTTGAGAGGGGACCAGACACCCATGGAAGGGCAGTGGCTGGTGGCTAACAAGGCTGTCTGTCATCTCCCTCACTGAAGACAGAAGTTTCAGTGGACTGGAGGCCAGAGCCTTAAGAGGTTTTAATATAGGAAAAGCTGCGCTTTATATAAAGTATCAGGGGCATTCAGTGTTCAATAAAACTCATGTTCCATAATAACAGGGGCAGAGAAGCCCTGGACACGGTTTTGTAAACAGAGATACGCCTATTTCCTGCAGGCCTTCTCAGAGCCTTCACATTCTGCTGTGAACTGTGACTTCTGAGGAGGAAGACATGGCTCTTAAACTGACCAGCCCCCAGGACCCCAACCCTCATGGAATATCCTTCCCTGCTTTGCCGGCTGGACACCGACAAAATGAATTCCAAGGCTTTTAAGAAGTGATGTTTGGGATGCCAGGGATGTCTGTAGTTTCAGCCTTGGAGCAGTCCTACAGGGAGGCTCCCAGAGCACTATCTCCTATTATTTTTCTTCAGAGAAAAGCAGAGGTGGGGGAATATATTTTATAGTCTCCCATCCTTTAGAGCAGGGCGGGGGACACAGGCAGACATAAGGGGCTTTTCTGGACGGGCCTGGGGCTCAGACATCAGGATATGACACCATGGTGACGTTCCTCCTGCTCTTCACCAACAGAAAGTCCTTCCAGTCCATCAGCGTCTCCCTGGCGGGGAAGCAGGCGGTGAGCTGTGCCCCACCCGCCACCTGGCTGCCGCGGGCCCACGCCCACACTTACTGCATGAGTGTCTGGACCTGGTCCTGCAGGTGCTGGGGCAGCTGTGGGCCCCCCCGGCCCGGAGCTGTGGTCAGGAAGCTAAGGCGGTAGATGGCGCAGAGCTGCCGCTTCACCTTCCCGCATGCCTGGAGCAGCCTGGGCACCGGGAGGTGAGGGCGTCACAGCGGAACGGCCCTGGGAGAGCGTGCGGTCCCCCGGCTCCTGTCCTGCACCGACAGACACACCTAGGACAGCACCTTATCCCCATGTGGTCCCCCTGCTTCTGCACTGACGACAGACCCAGCTGAAGAAGCACACCCTCACCCCCAGTGACCCAGGAGGCAGCTTCCCAGTTTCTCCCCGAGGTGGCACTCCAAATACTTGGGATGAAGGGCAGGGAATCTTGTCCAACTTCACAGCTTATTTTACCAGTAAATGAGGGGAAGTGATGCGCTCGAGGGGGCACTGAGGCAGTGCTGACTCAGCAGTGAAGCCGGGCTGGGGCCCGGGCCCTTTGTCCTGGTGGGTCCTCATGTCCTGCTCCTCAGCCGCCGTCCTCGCTACTTCCCAGCCTCCCGCCCGCGTCCTCGGGCTGCACCTTACTCTCCCAGGACCCCCTCTGCCCTCAGGAGCGCCTTCCTGAACACTTGCTCCCTCTTGGCCTGGAGGAATCTTGTCCTTCTGCCAAAACTTTCCCCTTGTCCTCAGAGCCCACTACTCACTCCCAGGACGATCCGGGTTCACTTCTGGAGAAGGCCTTGGTCTTGAACTCCAGCCAGGTGCTCTGCAGGAGGGCAGGAGACAGGTCAGCCCACAGTGAGGACCAGGAGAGGCCTTTCCGACATCAGGTTCTGAGGGCATCGTGCCTCTCAATGGCTTATTCAGGCCCAGCACACACCTGCCCTCGTACAGCCATAGCCGGGTCTCTGGCAGGTCCCCCCAGCTCTCTGCACCCCACTGTACACCATGTTCTACTCACTCTGCAGGCATTTATTTATAGAGCGGTTTCTGTGTGCCAAGTCCTGGGCTCACTGCCTGGCCGGTACAGACACATAAGCTAATGCTGTCAGAGCGAGAGGGAAGTGACCTGAGGGAGGGTGGGCATGGGGCAGGCGCTGGGTGCTGAGCGGGAGCCCTGGGCCATCACTTCAAAGGGGGACTTTGCATTTCAACACAGCGCCACCGCGATGCCCCGAAGTACTGTGAGATGCCCAGCCTTCCGACTGCTCTGAGCAGAGACTGGGGCTTCAGGCGCTTGCTCCGCCTCCTCCACTCCTCCTGCTAGTTTTGGGACCGACATGCATCGCAGCCACAGTGAACCACCTTTCCTCATAGACCCAAGCACTGCCGGCTGCTGAACCAAGCGATCTTCCCCCCCACCGTGAACTTCCTCCTGGCTTCCTGACAGACTGTGCCCTGCTTTCTGCTGCGTACGCACTGTCCCTTGTCTCTTGGCCTCGTCCCCCACCTGGGCTCTAAGCCCCCTGGGGTGGGAGCAGACTGCGTCCTGCACTTCTGTGTGACCTGCCACGCTGCCAGGGTGTCGGGGGGCAGGCCGCTGGCCTTCACCGAGACCTCGGTCAGGCTCGGGTCCCGCTGCCCACCAGCCGAGTAATCTTGGCCAAGTCACTATCTAAGCCCCCGTTTCCTCACCTAAAAAGTGGGAACTATCTGTGTTCTGCCCAACACACATCAAACCGTTCTGAAAATGTCAGTTCTTGTTGTCATCTCCCAACGGGGAAACAAGGGCCACAAAGCTGAGGTGGGGCTGGGGCCGGGCCCAGAGCCTTGGGCCCCTCGCTGGTGTGGGCCGAACAGGCCCTGCCTCCTCTCCCTGAGGGGGTACATTGGGGATCTGGTCTCACCTGCATCTCCTGTCCCCCGCGACTCTTGACAAACTTGTCCATCCTCTGGCGCAGGTCGCCCATGAGCGGGTGGGAGCGCAGGGAGCTCCCGGCCTCCTGACCCTCCTTCAGCTTCTTCTCCAGCAGGGAAAAGCCGTCCAGCAGCTGGTACAGGACGAGGGCCAGGGGCGTGCTGGGGCTCTAACGGGAGAAGCACAGGGCAAGGGCCGGGCAGCCCGGTGGGGAGAGGTCCAGGCCGCAGTGTCACCGGGGCAGGTTGCGGGCGGGAGAGGGCGGGCAGGGCGGGCATCCGTACCTTGGTCAGGAGCACCATGTTGATACCCGGCCACAGGGGCAGGCAGTACATGGTGTGGGGCACCATGGGGCAGTAGGTCTCCTTCACACTGGCGTCCAGGAAAATCCTTCGGGGGCTGGAAACTGCTGGGGAGCCAGGGATCAGCATTTGGAGGGTGTCTTCAGCTATCTGTGAAGGAAGAGGGGCTGTCGCAGGAGGACCGGGGGACCCTGTCGGGCCACCTCCCCACGTCGGAGCCACCCACGGGTGCCCACTCCCCATCCTCCGAGCCACAAGGAGCACACATTTTAGCTCCAAGTAATCCCAGCTCTTCGGTCCCTGTACTCTGCTGAAACTGCCTGAGCAGCTGCAGTTCTAATGTCTGTCTCTCTCTGTTTCTTCTGGGCCTGTCCTCAGAGTCGGGGCTGGGTGCCAAGCAGGGGCGGTGGGTGGCAAAGAAGGGACAAAAAGGGCAGGAACGACAGGCGGGGGCGGAATGAGAGGGAGCGGCTCCCTCCCGCATCTTCAGACGCAGATGAAGACATTTAAAGTTAAATAACATTCTGTCATTTCAACCACCCTCGAAACATCCCGGTGGCCATTCCAACAGGGGAAACTGAGGCAGAAAATGACTAAACGAGCAAGACTCCAGCCTTATGGAAGGCTCTGAGGAAGAAGCCTTTTGTGGGCAAAAGGAGAGAATTAAGGACACTATTAGAGATGCCACCAAAACTTCTCTATAAGGACATCACTGCAGTCTTATGATAACAGCAAAAAAAATGGACACAAAGTACTAGTTGTTCTGGGAATTTGCTAAATAAGTAATAACACACATGTGATGGACTCTTTATGGACATACGTAAAATCACAGGAAAGACTAGAAGGAAATACCCCCAAATCTAGTAGCTAACATCCAGGGGTGGGACTGAGAGCAATTTCTATTCCTTTTCCACCATTTTACTTTTGTTATTTCCCAATTTTTCTATAATGGATATATTTACTTTCTCATTAAAAAAACAAAAAACAAACAAAAAAACATTCAAAATTAAGTTGAACTCTCCATCTGAAGCCCAGTGAAGAGGCAGGGATTTCTCTGGAGCTGAGGTCACCCCTCGGCCCACCCCGACCGCGGCCCCTGCTGCTGGGCTGAGCTCTGTCTCCCGCCCTGGCCATCCCTGAGGCGGCCGGGGGAAGGGCAGTGCTGGCGGGGCGTCACTGGAGGAGAAACCCTCGGAGTCCCAGAACCCGCTGCCGCATCTCAGATCAGCTGGTGCCCTGGCACCCCCCCCCCCGGAGAAACTCACTTGGACCTGGGAGGCATCAATGGGTGGGGTGCCCCCGTCCAGCCAGACGGTGCTACCTGCAGGCCACAGGTAATAAAATAACAACATAAATAATTGGGAAACATAAACACTGGCTCAGTAGCATGTCAGAGGCGAGGGTGGAGCAGAGATGGCCCCGCCCCGTCAGTGGCTCCCAGCACCTGGCAGCGGCCAGGGAACTGAGTATGGGCTGGAGCGGCACTGCCCTTCTCGTCCCAGACCAAGCCAGCAAGTGCAGGCGGACTCTGTGGTCACGGGGCTGAAGCAGCCCGGGCTGGGAAGAGACGCTCCCCAACAATCAGAGCCAGTCGCTGGGAGCAAGCGCCTGAGGGAGCACCCAGCAATGTGGGGGGCACGTTTCCTCAGCCCCCTCAATCCTCTCCTTGTTTCTGCCCTCTCTACTCCTTCAGGCCCCTCCCTGGCTGTAACAGTGCCTCTTCACTAGAAGGCAGCGCACGGTCCACATTTCCCCAGCCATTTTACTGAGCACCTACTATGTGCTGGGAATTGGGCTACAATTCCTTTCCCAGTACAGTTCACAATAACCTACTGAACTCACTACCTACTGGAAATATGTTTGTAATAACAGTGTTCTCGCATACTCTATTGCAAATAACTACCATTTATAAGCACGTTTCTCTGGGGAAACCTGTTCCTATGTTTCAAACACCTGATTTACAAATGGATGAGTACACTTCAAGCCATTTGTAAGCTGTGAGTTCTGTGCACTGTGGAATGGCATTTTTTTATAGCTCTGAGGCATAAAAACCCACTGAGAGAAAGGGACGAGGAGCATCGTGATGAAGGAAGGAAGGAAAAAGAAAAGGGACCGGCAGCCATCACCCCACAGAGGTGCTTCTCGGCGTTTTGGACTCTTGGAGAAGCTCAGAGAACTGAGGACAGCTAGGGACCCTGGCCCTAGAGAAATGCACAATTCAAATGTACATATGAATTGACACATGATCTCAGGGGGTCCCAGGCTCCCTGCAGCGCATCCAAGGACCTAAAGAACTTCTAACCCAGTGGTTTTCAACTGTGGCTGCACATGAGGCCTTTTGAAAATCCTGATGCCCAGGCCACACTCCAGACCAGTGAAGTCAGAGTCTTTGGCACAGGCCCAGCTTCAGCGGTTTTTCAAGAGCCCAGGTGAGCCCACTATGCAGCTGCGGGTGAGAACCACTGCTCTAACCTAAACCTGTGCATACCAGTGGTTCCCGTCTTGAGCTCACTGGCCTGAGAAACTTCTAGAAGTATTCACACCTGGTCCCTAGCCCTTGGACTATATAGCTGGTCTGGCTGAAGCTGCCCAGGTCATTCTAACGTACGCCCAGGGTTGGGAGCCACTGGTTTAAGGAGGCCACACAGTAAATTCCTTTCAAAACTTATTCCCCAAGAAGTTTCTCCTCTTGAAATCCTAATCTTATTTCTTCTATCAGATGACGTGAACGTTCCCCTTCTCCAAGAACTTTGGAGATAAATGTGATGCCCATTCATAGTGACTACAGCAGTCTAGACTTTGCCTCATCTATTTCTCTGAGCAATGTTGCCTTTTCTGTTTTGTTGATAGCATTTTGAATATTTTTAGTTTCTTGTTGTTTATCCACATACTTTGAAGAAACAGGTAAAGTATAAACTATAGAGACTAAATATATTTTAAAACACTGTACTTGAAATCAAATGATTGTTGCTTAATTACTTGACTACTTATGAATTACAAAAAAGAAACACACGAGATGAATTTTTAAATGAAATCGGCTCTTCATAAAAAGTTTTAGCAATCATCTGAGTGGCCTTGATAGTCCCTGAATTCAAGCTGGAGCTGGCAGGGTAGGCAGAGGGGTTGCTGCCGAGTATCCTGTGCTCTAGGAACCTGGGTGTCTATACCACGGCCCTGACAAGGCAGGGGGTCCACTGAACCCTAAGACAGATTCCCCGCGGCTGCCATTTGGCCTCCGCGCCACCCTCCCCTCCAGGTCTCACCTGAACCCGAGCTCTGCTCCCCTGGCGAAGGAGCTGGTGTGAAGTACTCCTCAGGGAGGGAGAAGCTGTCTGTCTCCTGAGGAAAGAAGGGGACAGCTGGGGATGAGGGCTCAACCCCGGTCTCCGCTCGCTCTCCTGGGAGGGGCAGACCCTTCTGTCCCCCCTCCCCTCCCCGCAGGGTGGGTGCACAGCACGTACAGTCCCTGCAGAACTCCTGGCGGGGCCTGAGGAACGGGAGTTCCAGGTCTGCTGCAGAGGGATATTCTGGCTGTTCCAGGGCCTCCGCAGGGAAGGCTGCAACAGGCACGGAGGACACTGGTTAGAGCATGTCTGACAGGCTCCCCCCACCTGGCCTCTACCTGCCAGCACTTCACAGCACAGCCCTCAGGCACGGCCCCACTCCACCTCGCAGCCCTGGTGTGTGTCCTCACTTTTCAGGGATGTTTCAATTCTAGGTGGTCTCGTCTTTCTTCAGAACCACTGAAATTGCATCATGCTGGCATCCAAGCCACCGCCACTGATGATGATGGTGACAGTGGTGGATAGCACTTACTGACTGTTCCCTACACCCAGGTACTGTTGGGCTCTAGGTAAACTGTCTCCTTGATCTGTCATAACAACCTTAGGAGGTAGATGCTATCACTGCCCCATGGCACAGATAAGGGAATCGAGGCTCAGACAGGACAAGGACCTGCCCAGCTCACACAGCTAAGTGGTGAAGCTGGGATGATCTGACTCCAAAAATCTGCTCTTGTAACCCACCAAACCACATGCATTCTAGAATTCTCCTTATATCTGAAAGCAGCAGAAAAAGAGTCATGCCCAATCATGTGCCCAGAGCTGTGACTTGGGAACCACGTCCTCCCCAGCAGCCTGCCCAGCACCCTCCAGGCTGGCTTTCGGGGCCACCTCCCTGGTGGCCTCCCGCTGCCCAGAGAGCTGCCCGAGACCTGAGTGTTGTCATCGTCTGCCGTGATCTCGCTGGGGTAAAGGTCCTGAACCAGGAGAATGAGGGCAAGGAGGTCGGCCGGGCGCAGGGAGCTGGCGCTGTGGCTGCAGAGAGAACGGGTGGCTGGTCAGCACGTGCCGGGTGCCCCCAGTGCCCCCCAGGTGGCAGTGGGCGGGGACAGGTTGGTTAAGCGCGTCTGGAGTATGGTCCCTGCCCTCAAGGAGTTTACAAATGTGCCAGCTGACCTCATCGTCTTTAGAGAAGGGCAAGGAATAAATAAAATGAACTCATCAATTTTTAAAATAAAACATGGTTCTCCTAGAAAAAAAAAAAAGACCAATGGGAAACCACTAGGGACCAGGAACAGCCTATCAGGAAGTCCTAAATCCAGACTGTAAAACAGTGTTCCAGGGAAGAAATCATTCCGAGAAGGGCGTGAGCTGAGGGGGGGTTGAAAAATTGAGGAATCTGAGGCTTCCCGGAAGAGATGGGTCTTGGAAGGTTTTCTTGGCCAGGGAAGTGGTGCTTTTCAGAGCAGGTGAGTGTGAGGTGCCAGGAGGCCTCAGGCTCACCTGGAGTAGAAAGCCAGCAACTTGGAGTGTACGAGCAGGAAGGCGTGCAGGGCCTCCTCGCCGGCCCGTGCGGGGCTGGAGTTGACAGCCTGGATGACGTGCCGCTCCAGAGCCTCTATGCACAGCTCACAGAGCTGGGGGTGAATCAGCCGCTCTACAGCCTGGCCACAGGCAGGCAGGGAGAGGGAGCCATGTCATCCACCACCCTCTCCTGCTGCATGCCCTGGCTGGTGGGTACATTCACTGAGTCCACACCGAGCGCATACTAGGTGCCAGACACTTGGGAACAGGGAGACTCAGACCAGCAGTCTGGTCATTAGGCTCCAGTGGATGATTCAGACAATATGCAAGGAAACAGACAAAACATAAGTGCCAACTTTAATAAGAGCTGTGTAGGAACTATACAGTACTGGACTAGGGAACACTGCAGAGACCTACTTGGGTAAGGAGTACAAAGAAAATGTCCCTGAGGAGGTGATCTTTAACTGATGGCTACAGAACAAGAAACCCTGTCAGAGAAGGGAGGGTGGGGGAATGCTACAAGCAGAGGAAAGAACATATGCAAAGGCCCTGAGGTAGAGAGAGAGTTTGGAGCAGTGCTGTTGAACTGATATATAAGGCAAGCCCCATGCACAATTTAAATTTTCCTAGTAACTACGTGAAAAAGTAATAATTTATTTTACCCAATATATCTAAAATATTATCATTTCAACATACAATATAAAATCATTATTACTGGGATGTTTGACATTCTTTTTTTATTACTAAATCCTCAAAACCCAAATACTCAATAGCCATGTGTAGCTGATGACTACCATACTGGACAGAGTTGCGTGTAGAGGACTCCTGAAATGGAAAGAAGTCCCAGGTGGCCCATACACAGTAAGTGAGGAAGAGAGAGGCATGAGATGAGGTTGGGGCGAGACAGGCAGTGACAGATCATACAGGGCCTGGTAGGTGTGAGGAAAGAGTTTGGGTTTTATCTTAACTGCATTAGATTGCCTCCTACAAGAAGCCTTTCCTGCTGTCTCAGGAAGCGTTGACTATGCCACAGTGGGTTTTGATGAGAAACCTAATATGGCAGCACCCAGAATACTTTATTGCATCTTTTAGTATATATGTAAAGCTGATTTCCCTTCAAAGGCAGGGACTGTCTTTATTCACGTCTGTATTCCCAGGGCTTGGCGCACCTCTTAGCATAGAGTAGGTGCTCCACGTTTATTGGAAGAGTGAATGAGTGGAGCACGAAAGTGAGTTCCTTCAGATCTATTTTCCAGTTCACTAATTCTCTTTCTAGCTATGTCTCATCTACTATTTAACCCTTCCCTTGAGGTTTTCATTTTAACAATTATGTTTTCATTTCTAAAATACCTATATTATGGGTTCTTTTTCAGCTTTTATGTCTTTTAATATGTCATAGCTATTTTATATTCTGTACCTAACAATTCCAGTATAGCAATCGCCTTGGGATCTAAGTCTCTTGGTGACTGATTCCCCTGACTCTCACTCATGGTGGCTTGGTCTCTTGTGCATCTGAGCGTTAGTTGTGAGCTCATATTTGCTTGCTCTTACTCTGTCCTCTAAAGCAGTGGCTTTCAAAGTGTAGTTCCTGGACCAGCACAATCAGCATCACCTGAGACCTTGTTAGAAATGCCAATTCCAGAGCATCCCCTCTATTGCACCCACATGGATGAGAAAAGTGGGGTCCAGAAGCCTGCACCTAACAAGCCTCCAGACGATTCTCACACTGGAGAGTGAGAACCACTGATCTAGAGAATCTGCGTTTGTCTGCACAGGGGCCAGGCAGTGCTACTGACAACAGCACGTTAGCTCCTCAGGTTTGGCCTCGCGGGCAGTCACAGGCTCAGCCTCCCGGCCTCAGGCTTAGCTTCTGGCTGTAGTGTTGGTATCATCACCTGCACTCAGGCAATCCTGCCTTTAGTGCTTCCTTTTCATTGCTTTCCACTCCTGTTTCAGCGCAATATCAGTTTGGGACGAGGGGTCAGAGTGGAAGGGGCTATCTTCTGAGGTTTCTCTAATTTCCTGTGAGCCCAAAATCTGCATTAAAACCCTGTTTTATCCAGGATCTAGCTGTTTTATTGTAGGAAAGGCCATCAGAGTATCCAACCCACGATGAGGCCAGAAAGAGCAACCCTCGAAATGCATGAGTTTGAGGGTCTGCCTGCGACCTCACCCATTAGGGGGGTTAAAACACGGTCTTAACCCCGCTGGTCGGACACTTCCATGGCCTGAGGACTCCCGCACCCAGTAGTCACCTCCACAGCGAAACACTGCTCCTGTTCCCGCAGGCGGCTGTAGGTCCACAGCAGGCTCTGGAAATGCTCCCACACTTGGACGCGCTGCTCAAGGTCTGGGGGCCGCAGTCTGGGGGAAGAGTGGGAGAGGCCCGTGAAAACCAAAGGAGCACAGTCTTAGATCACTGTCAGGGCCGGGTGAGCACATGTGAGACCACAAAATAACTGGAAGAGCCCACAGAGCAGAGAAGGCCGAGCCCTGACCGGGGAGTGGAGAGCAATGGGCATGGAACCAGGAGCCCGGCGACTGAGCAAGCCGCTGCACTTCTCCGTTTCTCACAAGGATATACGACACAAAGCCAACGAGAGAGACCCAGGAAGGTGCCAGGGAGGAGCCAGGGGCAGTGTGAGGATGGGCAGCAGGGTAGAAACCGCCTGGCCTCAAGAAGGCTCTTAGCAATGGACCCAGAGGGGACCAGCCACGAGCACTCACTCCTTTCGGATGAGCTGGCCGTCCACGGTGACCAGGCCGAAGTGCACCTCGAACAGGTACTTGAGCACGCGCAGCTGCTGCCGCAGGTCCCCCTCGCCTTCCGTGCTGTCGCCACAGATGGCGATGAACAGGCATTCTCCGAACTGCAGGCACAGTGGGCTCCTGTCAGCCGGCCCCAAGGGACCCTCTCGCAGGCCCTGATGCCTGGGGACAGCAGGGGAGGCTCAGTCCCAGGGGGCTGGATAAGACACAGTTACTGCCTTCTGAAGGAGTGTAAAGTTCAAGATAAGGGGAGGGAGGCACGTGGACTGCCCATGGCGCTGAGGGAAGAGGAGCACGGGCCCAGGACCACACACTCACCAGGTGAAGGACATACAGGCATTTGCCATTTTCCGTTGAGAAGCAGGTGTATGTGTCTGACAGCTTCTCCAGCATCGTCATGGAGGAGATAATGAGCGGGGCTAGGAGGGTGCTGAGCTGGTCCTCCAGGGCGGGAAGCTGTAAAAGGGGAAGAAAAACAACACTGTTGAATGTGCCAGACCCTGGGGACAAAGGAACGGACAAGACCCAGGCCTTGCCACCAAGGGTCTCCATTGTTTGAGACCCACCTGGGAGGGTCTCTGTCCTGACAGAGAGGGGGGCAAAAAGACACCCCCAAACCCTGTGTGGTAGTTACCGTGTTTCCCCCAAAATTAGACTGGGTTTTATATTAATTTTTGCTCCAACTATCTACATTTAGTCATGTACAAAAATCTACATTTATTCAAACAGTCATGTCTGGCTGACAATCTTAACTGGGGCTTATGTTTGGGGTAGGGCTCATATTACGAACATCCTGAAAAATCATGCTAGGGCTTATTTTCCAGTTAGGTCTTATTTTCAGGAAACATGGTAGGAAGAGTGGGAGGGGCCAGCCAACTAGTTGTGCTGTTCAGGCTCTGAATCCAGAAAAAAATGTTAAGGGATTAGGCCACACTTCCACAGTGGAATGCTTAGGGCATTTAATGGAGAGCTGGCCAACTCTCAGAGAGTTCGCTACCTGGCCAAAGTCCATGCCCTTTGCTGCAGAAATTCTACTGTGGAGGGATGTATCCTAAGGAAAATGATCAGAGAGAGGGGCAAAGACACATGTACAAGGATGGTCACCACAGCATCATTTACAGTAGCAAGCAGTTGGAAAAAATGTAAATGTCCAGTACCAGGGAAACGGTTAAATCAATAACAGTACATCTAAATGATGAAAGAACAGGCAGCCACTTAAAATAGTGGAGTGTTTCGATGACATGGAAAATTCCTCTGATACAATGTTATGTTTAAAAAGAAAATGGTTGTGGGCCGGTTGAGTGGCGTGTTGGTTGAGAGCTGGCTTGGGATGCCAGAGGGCCCCGGTTTGGATCCCACATATGAGGGCCAGTGACATTGTCCTCTACAGCTGAGATGCTGAACAACAGCTCAAACTGGAGCAGCCCCTGCTGCAGTGGTTTGCCATGGGCTACCGTGTGTAGCCAGCAGCCAGCGTGAGTGGCCAGCAGCTGGCATGAGCTGCCAAGAGCTGCCGTGAGTGGCCGTCCAGAGGCTGGTGACCGATCTGCCTCACCCAGGAAGAGTGCAATGATGGTGCCAACTTGGGCCAGTGAAGCAACATCCTCCACAACTAGACTGAAGAACAAAAGGACAGCAACTTACCTGTTCCCCTTCCCCCAATTCCCCAATAAAAAATCTTTAAAAAAAAGAAAATGGTTGTGAATGTTCTGCATGTTAAAATGCACAGAAAAACAAACTATTGAAAAAATATTCAGAAAGTCAACATCATTAAAGTTACGACGTCTGGATAGAGGGGTTGTGACTGATTCCCACTCCCCTCTCCCGTCCGCTTTTATGCTTCTGTACTTTCCCTATTTCTATAACAAGCATACTTGCACTTTTTATAAGCTCTTCCCCGATCCATTCCCTCTACCCTCCAAAATAAGGAACAAAACATATAAAACCAAAAAGAAACTGGACAAATGCGTTGAAAGTCTGTGACTAAAACGGGATAAAGCCAATGGAATGGTAATAGCTCAAATTTGCGATACTGGAATGGAAAGAAAGGAGGAAAACAGCTGACCTTTCCCAGGCTGATTTTGGGAGCCTTGTGCTGGTGAAATCTGTAAGGAGCAGAATGAGATCTTGCCTTGCAAAGCAAAACAGGCAACCAGCCAGGGGCAACGTGTAGCTTTGCAAACATGAGCGGACACAGCAGTGTGCAGCACACTTTCTTCTGACATTCTCAGCGTTCAGGAACCAAGGTCTGTGTCCAGCTGCTGCAGAGGCTGTGAGTCAAGCTTGAACAGTGGTTCCCTTTGCAGCATTCAGATCTCAGCTCAGATGGCTTCTCTCCTGATTACACTCCGGCTACCCTGCCCCATTCATTCCCCATCCTATAGCAGGTTTAACTTCTTCAGACCGTTTGTCACTCTCTGAATTCATGGTGTTTATTTGGTTCCCTGTACATTGCCCCTCTTTAGCCTCTAATTCCATGAGAGTGGGGCATGTTGCTATGGTCACTGTTTTATCCCCAGAGACTGACACATAGTAGGTTCTCAATTAATATTTGTTGACTGAATGTCCCTCCAGATAGGCAAATGTTTGTTGAATTATTCACACACTATAGTTTTCTTGAACTGCCATGAGCAAATTATATTAATAGAAAACACACTTAGAAATCTAGTTTGTGTACAGCAATTCATTTTAAAAGGAGAAGCTTTTTTTGCAGGTGTAGCAAGAATTTTCTTGGGAGGGGGAAGATGAAAATATTTGGTGTAGGCAGAATGTAAAGGGACATTGTCATATATTAGTTGGTGGAATTATAAAGTGGTACGATATCTTTGAATGACTTTTGAATCAATGTTTCTATTTTTGGAACCTATCCTAAGCAAATAATCAGATGTAGAGTAAAATTCAAGCACAAATGTTCCCTACAGCAATAGTTACAGCAAGCTAGAAGCAATATACATGTCCACTAATAGAGAAACGGTTAAATAAATGATGAGGCATTTATTCATACACTGGAATGTTTCCATTAAGACTTAACGCTTTTGAAAATATTTAACAAAATGGAATAATGCTTTAGATATAATGGCAAGTGAAAAAAAAAAGAAATAAAACTGTAAATGTGGCATGATCCCAACTATATATAAAAGTTAAAGACCCAAAGAAAATATATTAAAGAGCTAATAGCTATGGGTAGGAAAATTATGGGTCATTTAAAAACTATTTCTCGGTGCTTCCAAATTTCCTACAATTAATTCACATAATTTATAGACTCAAGAAAAAAAATGTGTTGTGTATATAAAAAATAAAACTTCAAGGACTTTTTTCTTTACAGTAATCATTTAGAAACTGAAAAATCAGGAGTGTTTTAGTTTGTTCCTTTACCAGGTTTTTATTAAAGAGGAAGAGAAACATCATAAAAAAGCTAGCTGAAATAGTAGCTTAAGAACTGAAATACTTAAAAGTTCTTAATTTAAAAATTATACATGCTGACTGCTAAAAAATAAAAGAGCCTAACAGATAGATCTGCTGTTTAGTTTCAATAAAGCCACTTAAATGTCTACAATCTCAGAGACCTTGTTTGATTCCTAACGATTGGAACCAGAATACCAGTGATGTTGAGGTGAATTAACTGCAGAAGTGAGGCTAGTTCAGCTGATGGTTTGGCCCATTAGAGCAGGATGGGCTCTGATAGGCAGCAAGTCTCTGCTGCTGGGGGAATGCAAGCACACATCTATGTGTCTCCAATAGATATTTTTTTAACCCAAAATTAATCTGGAAAAAATTTTCAAAATAAATGACTCCTTCAAAATGTAGAGTGGAAATTATATAAATGAAAATGACAACTATCTCTGAGTTGTAATATTAAAATGTTAAACTGAATGTCCAAATGCAAACAAACAAAAACAAGTTAATGCATACTTTACACTATATGCAAAAAGTAAAAATGGATCATTAGATCTAATATAAAACATAAAACTTTTAGAAGAAAGTATAGGGAAAACTCTTTGTGATATTGGGTTGGACAAAGATTTCTTAGATATAGCACCAAAGGCATTATCCACAAAAGCAAAATCAAACAAAAAAAGATAAATTGGAGTTATCAAATTAAAAACTTCTGCTTTCTGAAAGACTGTTAAGTAGATGCAAAGACAAGACATAGACTGGAAGAAAATATCCACAAAACATATATCTACTAAAGGACTTGTATCCGAAATATATAAGAAACTCTCAAAACTCAAAAAAATAAGAAACAATCAACCCAATAAAAAATGGGCAAAAGATATGACCAGATGCTTCATTAAAGAAGATATAAGGATGGCAAATAGACACATAAAAAGATGTTCAAAATCATTAGTCATGAAGAAAATGAAAATTAAAACTCAATGAGAGTCTGTCATGAACAAATTATATTACCAGGAAAGTCACTTTCTATTAGATACTTATTAGAATGACTAAATTTAAAAAGATTGACTGCAGCAAGCATTAGCGAGGACACACAGGACCTGGAGCTCTCATACACTATTGGTGGAATATAAAACGATACAACGGCTTTGGAAAAGTTGGGCAGTTTCTTAAAACGCTTAATATACACCTGTATGACCCAGCCATGCTACCCTACAGATCTACCCATGAAAAATGAAAGCCAATGTCCACACAGAGGCCTGTATGTGAGTGTTCACAGCTGCTTTATGCGTAAGAGTAAAAACTGGAAGCAACCCGGATGCTGTTATGATCAACAGATAAACAGCAGAACAAATTGTGGTGTAGTGATCCAACAGACCACTGAAAGGGAACTACTGAAACACGCTATAACAGGGATGACTCTCAAAATAATTAGGCTGAGTGAAAGAAGCCAGACCAAACCAAAACCAAAACCCACCCCGAGTACGTACTGTATGCACTCATCATATTGTATAAAAGTCTGTAAAATACAAACTCATCTGCTGTGACAGAAAGCAGGCCCGTGGTTGCCTGAGTGAGGGTCAGGGGTGGAGGACCACAAGCTTTGGGGATGGCGGATATGTTCACTACACTGACTGCGATGGATCCTAGGTATATATGTACATAATCAAGTGTGTCAAGTTGACACTCTGAGCATGCTCAGGTTATAGTATGTCAATTGTACCTTAATATAGCTGTTATAAAAATTAATGTTAAGCTTATGTTAAATTTTTTAGGAAGAGAACTGATGACATTGTTTCTCTGTTGTGTGATTAATATTGTTTCTTCTCCTGCCCTCAGTGAGTTCGGGGGACTGGGGGCTACGGTGGTACGGAGTGCAGTCACTGCACTTGAGAGCATCAAGAGGCCGCACTCTGAGGATGTGGGGCCAGGTGTGAGGGTGCTGGGCCAGGAGGGGGCGGACAGGTTCTGCTCCTGGTAGTTCTGTGCTGTCCCCTCCCACCCACCCCTCCTGCTGGGCTCTCACCTCTTCTCCTTCATTCTCTGAATGACTGAACTTCAGCCGCAGACTCTCTTCAAACTCCTCATCTGTCCAGTAGAAGAGGACCTCGGCACCCTCTGTGGCCACCAAGGTGCACTTCATCTGCCAGGGAGAAGCAAGGTCACGGTCGCCCCCAGGTCCCCATGTCCTTAAGCTGGGCCTCAGTAATGAAGAGGATCATGGTCCCAGCAAACGCCTGCTGAGCCCTACTGTGTGCCAGGCACCACCACACGGGCCTTCCGGGGGTTATTTCGTTGCACCCTCAATGCTTTGATAAAGTAGAAACCTTCAATTCCTCCTGTCTTATAGGGCGGGATGTGGTGCAGCTTGAAGTGGCAGGGCTGGGGTCCAGACCCCAGCCAGTCTGGCGCCAAGGTTGGGGCTCTTTCCTCTGTTATCCAGTCTCCTCCCCACAGCATCAGACCCACCACGGGCCGACTGGACTGAACAGAAGGAAGGACCCAGCTCTGGATCTGTACACAGAGTCAAATGCACAGGGAGGTGGTCTGATGGCAGACAAGTCAGAGCCTGGTCTGGAATGGAGGGCGGCTAGTGAACCTCCCTCTGGGCGGTCAAAAACAGCTCCAACAGATGAGCTTGAAAGCCCACCAGGAGTGAACACAACACTACAGGAACTTCAATCACAAGTTCCCCCTGCTCTGCGTGCAAACAGAGTCTGGACCTTGTTCACGTTCATCTCACACCTGCTTAGCTGCTGCGTCCTCAGTCCATTCTCCAATATCTCTGGTCCTTCTGAACCGCCTGCCCCACCACCCATACAGGTGTCCTCTATGACGCATATGTTAATGCTTGATTATACAAAATGTGTTTATTTATTCACCAACTGGTAGTCTTAATCCAGAGCTTCCCCCCACTGTGCCTTGTTCCCCTGGGGTGCAGCAAGTCAGTGATCCTCTCAACCTCGGGGCAGCTGCCCAAGCCTGGTGAGGCCAGGGCTCTCAGCCCAGGTAGGGGCTTCACGCCTCCTCGTGTACCCCGGTGTGCCACACAGATGTGACCATGTTGCACGTGTGCTAAGATGTAACATGATTAGGAAGCTCTGTTCTGACTCTTTTGTGAGTAGAGGTCCAGTTTCCTCAAAAAGATCATAGCACCTTGAGGTCTCAGACTGAGTTACGCCTTTTAGGATCCCTGATGTGACTGGCCAGCTTAGTGGTTCTTACTGAATTCCCCTAAAGTCTCTAGTTAGTTTATCAATTCCAACTCAGGGCACCTAGCCTCAAGGTGTTTCCAGCACAGTGAAAATCAGAGCACGCAGCCTATTCCTGTGGAATTGCTAAACATGAGGCAGCGACTGAGAGGGCAAGGGAATGTGAAGAGGTTGCTGGATTCGGGCAAGTGGACCTGGAAGAGGCTTGCTTGGGACTGCCAGGTGAGTGTGACAGCGCTGGGAGCTCAAGGGGCCAGGCTGATGGGGAGTCTAAGGGATGGGGAATGGTGGGCTGTGGGATGGAGGCTGTGGTCAACAGCAGAGCGCCCCTGGTATGGGTGTGGGGAGTGATGTGCTGTCATAGGTGGGTGAGGTTAAGGTTATGGAGGCTGGTCATCCTGGTGTGGGGTCAAGAAGGGGCTGATTCAAGAGGTATAGCTTAGAGACATAGCAGGCCTTGATGACCACTGGATGCAAGGGAGGAGGGAGAGAATAGGCAAAAGTGACATGAGGCTGCAGGGCTGGGCAGGCATGGGGAGGAGAGGGCTCTGCAGAGCCCGGAAGCTCAGCTCATTGCCAGCCACTCTGTCCACCTCCCACAGCCTCCGAGTAGCCCCAGAGTGGGTGCTGCCTGATTCCGTCTGCCCCAGGTCAGGCAGGATCATCTACCTTGGTAAGGAGCACAGCGGAGCTTCCAGACGGCCCGAGGTTCAGAAAGGCCTACAAGTAGGCAGACGCGGTGACCAACTCATGGACAGCAGCATAACATCCCAGGTCCTGCAAATGCTTGAAACAGAGAGGTCATGAGGGCAAGCAGAGGTCTTTGTTCTGACTGTTGCCCGTTCTTGGGAGTGGACAAGGTGGTGAAGGACTGGGTGGTCAAAGGTCCCTCTCTGGCTCTGAGGCCATCTGCTCAGAACGTGCTGCCCTGGCCGCAGGTGCCTGCGTGCCCTGTATCCCTCTCTCTCCCTCCTACAATGGAGAACAGGAACCCGGCCAGCACAGTCCTCTGGATGTAGCAGGTGCCCACAAACATTAATTCCCACCTACTGTTTCCTTCCAAGAACTCTTATTTCACTGTGGGTCACTCGGAGCCCTGGTGTGGGCAGCAGGCCCACCCTGAGCAGCCCCAGGGAGTGTTATGACTGTCAGGAGACAGCAAAGCACAACCCAGGCGGGGAGGGAAGTAGTCCCAGAAGAGGGGGGTATCTGGGGATGATGCGATGATGGGGATGATCTGATGGCAGTAAGCCAACATGAAAGATACCGAGTGGGTTCTACTTTCGAGTGGGTTCTACTTTCGGCTTTGCCAAGACACTTAAACCTCTCTGAGCCTCAAACTCCTGCTGTGAAAGGGAGGAAAAAAAAATCCCTGCTCCCCCTCCCTACAGGTTTATAGTAACTATAAGCAAGCAGGGCTGCCCTTAGCAAACTCCTTTCTTACATAGAGGTGGGGGGACTTTATTCTTATTTCCCAGCGGCCCTTCCTCAAATAACAGGATGCACTAAACTGGTTCCAGATCATTCCCATTTTGATGATAAAAGACAAGAACGATATAAAGGTTTAGCGTAACTAGGAAACCAAACAGCACACGCAAATTAGAGGCAAGAAAGGGCTGTTAGGAGCCTATGCATCTTTTGTAACATAACGGAGACTCGCTACAACACCGGCGTGACTGGCCTCAATGCCGTCTTCCAAGAAAAAAATGGAAATGCGTTTTAGTGGACATTAGGTGCTACTTCTTATTCCAAAAGGCTGATGGAAAGAAAACCTCACTGGTGTCCTTTTGTCATTTCCTTGTTCTCCCCCCATCCTGCTCTCAGGAGGGAACACAGGGCTCACTGGAGCTCCAGAGGGCACCCGCCAGCCTGGGGGAACCCTCGGGCCTTTTCACCATCCTGCCCAGCAAACCGCCCCCGACGGCCGGCCGCCACTCCTGCCCCAGCCGCTCCCTCCGGGCCTCGGCCTCGCCCCCGCTGGGCTGAAGCACCCAGGAGGGAGAACCTGCAGACCGCGAGGGAGCAGCTCGCCTCCGCGGGACTCCCAAGGGCAGCATTCCTGTTTGCCCCGCCCGCTACAGTTTATGCAGCAGTTTCAGCCCCAAATCCTCCCGGACCTCACGGCTACCCTGGGAAGAAGGCCCGGCTTGTAGCCCCCGCCCCACTCCGGAGCTGCAGAAACTTTGGCTGTGAGAAGTGGAAGCGACGAACCTACGGCCACACAGCCGGGGTGGAGCCCGCTCCCCGACTTCCGAGAGGGCCGTGCGGGGGTCCCGGAGGAAGACCGGCCGCCCACGGAGTGGGCAGCCGACGGCGGCACCGGAACAGTGGAGGAGACCCACGTACCCGATCGCGGCCCAAACACGGCCCAGCCAGCCCCCGGCCCGCGGGCGCGCTTCCGGGTGGGCCCACGTGACCTCCCACGTGACCGCCCAGCCTGGGGAGGGGCTGGAAGTCGCGACTCTGCTTCGCAGGTTCGAGCCCCGCCCCTGTCTTGGTTAACTTTTGCTGGCGGTGCATTTCGCTACCGCTTGGCTGTCTAATCCCCTGAATTTTGACTCCTGCCGTCCCGTGGCCATCTTCCTGTCATCAATGAGGACGCCAAGGTCCAAAGGATTGGGGGGCCTCGCCCACAGCCTTCGGGGGCACCTGCTGCGTCCAGCACTGTGCTAGGCCCTTCCCCTTGCCTTAGTTAAAGCGATTCCCCAGTGAGGCACTGGGAATGTCCCCATTTAGCCTCATTTTAGAGAAGAGAAAACTGACGCCCAAAGAGAAGAAATAACTTGCTGAGGGGCCGAATAGAATGAGAACCCAGGTCTCCCGGCTCCTGGCTGGGCTCTTACCCACTGGCTTTTCTTGCTGAACTGCAAGTCTGGAGCAAGAGCTGTGCATTTCCCTGACCTCCTGGGGAGAAGACAGACTGCAAAAGGGTCCAGTTGCCACCAGAGTGCCAGCGCTGGAATTTCTTTTTAAGGGTTTTCAATCCATTTTGCGGGGGTGGGGGAGTACACATTAGGGGCTGTGTTTTGAACCGGTGTTTGCAAGATTTTCTTAAATAGTGTGTGTATTTGTAGTGGCTGAAAGTGTGGCTGGAGCTGATGAAGGTCATGGAAGGCACTAAATCCACACCCAAGTCACCCCTTAGTTCCCTGGTGCCTCCTGCGAGCTTTGAGTTTTGGGGACTGTCTGGGGTGCAGCAGATCAAGCACCCTCTGGGCAAAGGCAGGGGCCAAGAATTAATGCCTCTACCACTTGCAGACAAAGCGGGCATCACTCCCTCTTCCCTTCCCCCACTCACTGCCCCCGCTGGCCTCCCACCTTAGCCCAAACCGTCCAACTCCACATCTACAGCACACAGCCCTGCTGCAGGCACCTCTCTCTCCAGCCCACAGGTGAGATCTTCTGGCTGTATGCACCTTGATCCTGTTATTTTCACTCACCATATTTCTCTCTTGTGTCAAGCTCTTCATAACCGTGAATTTCAGTAGTTGAATAAATTCCATCAAATGGATATGCTATTTACTTACTGACTCCCTCTTCTAGTCCATTTCCTGACAGCAATGTATGAGGGCCCCAATTTCTCCCCATTTTTGTCAATACTTGTTATTGTCTATTTTAGCCATTCTAGGGGGGGGGCAAAGTGATATCTCATTGTGATTTTGAATTGTATTTGTCTAATGGCTAATGATGGTCAGCATCTTTTCATGTGCTTTGCAGCCTTTTGTATATCTTCTTTGGAGAAATGTCTTTTCAAGTCTTTCGTCCATTTTAAAATTGTTTTTTTTTTATTTTGAGTTGTAAGAATTGTTTGTATATCCTGAATACAAGTCCCTTATTAGATATATGATTTACAAAAATTTTCTCCCATGATGTGGTTTGTCGTGTCACTTAATTAATGGTATAACTAGTAGCAGAAAAGTTTTCAATTTTGATGTAATCCAATTTATCTATTTGTGATTATGTTCAGGTTTTTGTGTCAACATAAGTTTTTATTTCACTTGGGTAAATACCTAGGAGCGGGATGACTGGGCTGGATGGAAAAATGTATGTTTAAGTTTATAGTAAGCTGCTGAACTGTTTTCCAAAGTGCACGTACCACTTTACATTCCAGCAAGCAATACTGAGAGTTTTAGTTGCTCTGTAGCCTCCTTAGCATTAGATGTTGTCTCTTTCTAACTTTAGCCATTCTAGTAGGTATGTAGTGGTATCTCATTGTGGTTTCAGTTTCCATTTTCCTAATGACTAATAATGTTAAACTTCTTTTCATGTGCTTATATGCCATCTCTATCTCTTCTCTGGTAAAGTGTCAAATCATTTGCCCATTTTTAAATTGATTGTCTTGCTTTGTGTTATTTACATGATTTCTTTATATATTTGCATGCAAATCCTTTATCAGATATCGGTTTGCATTTTTTCCCAGTCTGTGGTTTTGTCTTTTCATTTTCTTTACAGTGACTTTCAAAAGAACAGAAATCTTTGTGCATCTTGTGTACTGTCTAAAAAAATCTTTGCCTGAGCCAGGGTCACAAAGATTTTCTCCTGTGTTTTCTTCCAGAAGTTTTATAGTTTTGCATTTATGTCTATGATCCACTTTGAGTTGTTTTTGTAGATGGTGTGACAGAAGGGTTCACTATTTTGCAGATAGATGTCCAATTTTTCTAGTTCTATTTGTGGAAAAAATATCCTTTCTCCACTGAATTACATTGACACATTTGTCTCAGATCAGTTGACCATGTAGGTGTGGATCTATTTCTGGACTCTCTATTCTGGTCAATAAATTTAGAAGAATTCAGGTCACATTAAGGATTTTATGGATTTTCTCAAAAAGCTTTTGGTTTCATCAACTTTCATTGGTTTTCTGGTTTTTATTTTACCAAGTTCTGTACTGATATTTACTATTTCTTTTCCTCTGTTTACTGTGGATTTAATTTGCCCGTGTGTGTGTGTGTGTGTGTGTGTGTGTATAGCTTCTTAAGATAGAAACTGACCCATTGATTTGAGACCTTTTGTCTTTTTTAACAAAGAAGTTTACTACTATAATTTTTCCCCAAAGTGCTGCTGTATCAGCTCAGCTTTTTATATGTTGTATTTTTTCAGTTAGTTCAAAATGCTTACTAATTTTTCTTTTGATTTTTTTGACCTATGCATTATTCAGAAGTATGTTATTAATTTCCAAATATTTGGAAGTTTTCCAGGTATCTATTGATTTCTATGTCAATTCCATTTGGTCAGAGAATATGCTTTGTGTGGCTTCAGTCCTTTTAAATTTATTGATGACCTAGGAGATGGTCTATCTTGGTGATGCCCATAGCAATTCTGGAGGCCAAGTGCTTAAGATGGCCGAGAACCCCCATCAGTCTGGATCCCTGAAGGACTACATGGAACAGAACGCCTGCCCATCTTATCCCAGTACCACTAATTGAATTTTGCATTGTCTATGAGCAAGAAGTAAACTTCAGTTGTGTTAAGCCATTGAGATTCTGGGGTTTGCCTGATATTGCAGCTAATAGTTTCTTTAACTGATAGACAATGACATCTAACTTGATTAATAAAATTCAATTTCCATTTAGGCTTCTTGAAGCAAAGCTTGTCGGGGAGAGGGCAGCATACCATGAAATCAAAGCTCCTTAGCATATGTTAGTTCATCAGGCAATCAGTCTTAAGGTCAAGGTGCAGCGTTGACAACACTGGCCTCCCTCTCCCCACAGAACACCCTGAGAACAGGAAGTTAGAGTATTCACATTTTATTACTTACAAAACATGACCTCAAAATATAAACTTCCTCATGGACCCAAACTCTGTAATCACCGGGCTCATATAAGCCTTAATATCATCTGGTTTCTGGAAGAAAATATTCACACCTGTTCAAATCCCCTGCACAGAGAAGAAACTTTCCCTGGGAGGTGTCCCTGCATTCATTTTGCCAACTTCCAGATAATAAAACTCCGCTTGCTTTTTGCTTCTCCCCAAAATATAATTTATTACATACCATTTACAACTTGAAAGAGAATCCTAGAATATGTTCATGAATAATAATTAGAAGAGTAATGTCCGTGACGTGGGCTATAAAGAAGGGCCCCCTTTTCTCTGCTGGGTGCGTGGGGCAGCGGGGTTCATGCGTGAGCCAGTCATCTGGAGCTTGGCTGGCTCCTCCCGAATGCCCCCAGGGCTCTCAGGGGCGACTCTGCTGTTCGGAAGGAAGTGGGTGCCAAAGCACTGGATTTGCTGTCTTTTGGTATTTTGGCTGTCTTATTTTAGAGTGATATTTGCAAATACTCCCCCTAGGGCAATGATTAATGGATTTATTATTTAGTCTGGAAAGGTGAAGAGAAACTTCCAAACCTTTGGGTGGTGGGGAGAGGCATAGTGCTCCCAGGCAGTGCACCTGTGGGTGCTGACTGGCTCTGCCACTTCCCTCTGGGACACATGATCAAGAATAATCACCTGTGATGGGTGGCGGTGGTGGGAGTGGCCCTTTACATCGTTCTCCAGAAAAACAGAGAGGGAGAGAAGCAGACCAGGAGGGCTGCTGGTGGGCCCAGATGAGCCTGGACTCACAATTCTACAGCCAAGGCTGGTCACAGCCCGATTCACTACTCATCAGAGTTGCTAGGTGGCTTCCCCAAACCCAAGCTCGACTGTCCTGGGTGAAGGCACTGCTAGGGTTCCACGCAGATACAGGGCATTAAGAAAGCCAGCTGTGAACAACACAGAGATGAGGAAAAGGTGGCCACCACCAGTCCAGTGAGCGGGAGCACGGTGCAATGACAGCGGGCTTTGGAGTCCCACAGATCTGGGTTCAAGTCACAGCTCTGCCACTCTGCTCATCTGGATGGCCTTGGATAAGTTACCTCTCTGGCCCTCCCCAAATATTCACCACCCGGGACTGGGATAGGGAGGCAGATACAGAAGCCTTTGTGTGCCTGTTAGGAGAACTCAGAGGCAGTGATTGTAATGCTCCAATTGTTGGGGCCTTGTAATCACCGTTTCTCTTTGAGAACCCCTTGCTATCTTATGTTCAATTCCAGTACACCCTAAGACAAGATTGCAAACATTTCTATAATCAAAACTTAACTCCCTCTCAGTGGGCTCCAGGCTGGGGATGGAGTGGCTGGCAGAGGTGAGGCTGTGGAACTGGCGAGTAAGTTAGTGGAAAAGAGCCATTGGCAGCATCCAGGCTGAGGCTGCAGATCAGGGACGTGGAGGAAGCCATGCTGCACAAATGTGTATGCTCCTTCCTCCCTTGCCCTCTCCAAGCCACAGCTCCATTATTTTGGGTTGTTCTCTTGATATTCCAAAATTTTAAAGCCTTTCCCTGTCCCAGTGGTTTTACCGTCAGAGGGGATCCACCTGGTTCACCTTTGCTTCTGCAGAGATTAAACACTGCCCTTCTGTTTTCAGAAATAAAGCCGCTCTCAGTAGATTTCCAAGGTGAATCATGCATCCATCCCAAACACAGGGACGATGAGTGCACGTGGTAGAGCACACCTGCAGATGCTGGGTCTGGCCTGGCCTGGGCCACATGGCAGCTTAGCAGCTCACAGTCCTGTGGGGTCCTCCCCGCTGCCCCAGCCCAGGAGGCTGCACAGGCTCCCTGGAGCTGAGGGCCAGTGGGGGCCTCTCAGGCACAATCCACCAGCTACTTCTGCCCTGTCAGAGGTGCAGGTCCTGTGCCCATCTGCCAGAGGACTGCCAGCTGCTGGGGAGGGCTAGCGGGCCTTTGGGAATTGCAGTTTTGGGAGTCCCAGGCCTCTGTCTCACTGTAGCTCAGTTCTGGTATTTCCAAGCTTTTCTCTAGCTGGAGATAATGCTAACATCCCACAGTTGCAGCTTTATCAGGGCACTAGAAGAATCGGGACATTCTCTCCAAATAACAATGAGAATTTTTTCTGAGCCTTTGCGATAAGAGAGGAGAAAATCATTCCTAGCGGCAGAAGCAGCAGAAAATCATCTCAACAAAAGGCACAGACTTCTCATTACACATCATCATGCTTTCAAATAATCACCTCTGAAGCCCATTCTTTGGTTTAAAACAAAGTGGTTCTTAAAGTTGTAGATTATCTCAGCCCTGTCTTGTTTTAAGAGTAAACATCTGATCTGGGGAGGCCAGTGGATGAGCTCTTCCGTCCTGGGGCCCAGGCTGGCAAGCTGCTCCCTTGATGTAGATGGTGATGCTGAATTTTGCCACAAGCTGTCTTTTGGGGGGAGTGTGATGGGGCGTCCATTATATAAGGAGCGATTCCCACTGATCTAGTCATTCCCCCCAACCCAAGATGAAAAATCCAGGACATACGCCCTGTACTAAAGTCTCTACGGCAGCGGTTCTCAACCTGTGGGTTGCGACCCCTTTGGGGGGCGAACGACCCTTTCACAGGGGTCGCCTAAGACCATCGGAAAACAAAAAGATATTTACATTATGATTCATAACAGTAGCAAAATTACAGTTNAAAGATATTTACATTATGATTCATAACAGTAGCAAAATTACAGTTATAGAGTAGCAACGAAAATAATTTTATGGTTGGGGGTCACCACAACATGAAGAACTGTATTAAGGGGTCGCGGCATTAGGAAGGTTGAGAACCGCTGCTCTACGGAATGGAATGTTATAATAAATTTCTCAGTTTCCTTTGAATAATGTAAATACTTCTTCCGTGAGACAGTTGCAAAGTTAGAATCTCAGGACTCCAAAGATAAAGTTCAGTGACTCCCTTCTCCTTTTTATTAACTGAAAAAATAAAACAAAACTGAAACCTCTTAGGAGCAGCATTTAATATACAGAGAAAGACAGAAGCAGCAGGAACTGCCTACGTTCTGCACGTGTGGAGGCTTAGTGAAGAATCAACACCTATTTACAGAAAGTGTGTTTGAATGGAGCTTTGGAGGTCCTGGCTGTACTGAATTAGCAGAACCTATGACGAGGTGATGGGGTGAGTCTGTGAACTGGGCAGCCACTGACTCGGTGCTTAAATGAAAGGGCTCTGGATTATTCTGAGCTCAGCAACCCATTGCCCTGCATGACCTTGGGGAAGCTATAGACCCTCTCCACACCTCATAGGTTACTAGCCCGGGCCGGGCCTGCAGGGACCTTTGGTTACTCTTGTTATTATCAGGGGCTCTGCAGCTGTGCCTGCACCAGGATATAGATGAAATTTTGATATTGGCACAGATTTTTAAAACTTTGGAGAAACAGCCTCTTAGGCTCTCACTTCTCTTTTCCGCTCTCTTCCTCACTTTGGCCCGTCCTCTGCCCCTTCTTTCTCCTCCTTTCTCTCTCTGCCCCTCTCAGAGCTGAAGCTTCAGTGGGAGATGCCTGCTCCCAGGGGAGAGGGGCCCTTCCGGGTAGCCTTGTGGCTGCATGTCAGGGTCTGTTCTTCTCTTCCCAGCTGCGTCCGGGCTGAGACACCCACTATCTGGGTCCAACCGGTCCTCCGTCTCCCCCTTTCTTGCTGCATCTCCTGTGTGCTGTTCTTCCTGTGCCTAATAATAAGCCTGTCCAAAGTGAGCCCACTCTCTTCCTGACACCTAAAACGAGCGATGGCTTCCCTCTCCCAAATTCCCAGTTCTCCAAGCTGAGAATCCTCTACCTCTTCTGTCTAATCTTCGTCTTGTCTCTCACTTTACCTTCACTTTGCAGACTTGGCTCTAATACTTAACCCCTTGGGCATCTTCGGCGGTCTCCCTGGCCTCTGACCTCAGCGACCCTGCGCCACCCCCACACCCATTCCTTTCCTTTCACAACAGAAATTGTATCACTGTCTTAGTTGGAACCCTGCGACACTGTCAAATATCTCCTCCTTTTAGAAAAGCATCCTTTTGTCATTTATCCCGACAAAGAAAATCACATCCACAGAAAAGAAAGTTCAGTTACAGATTGTTTGTAAAGACCCACACACCCCTTGACTCATATAGAAGGGCTTTACCATGAACTTCAACTCACTCCACTCGCCCCTGCCCAACAGGGAGCTTCCCAATTACTATTTCACCGTTTGCCCATCAGACCTATCTCCAGATTTCACCTTCCCCAGGATGGCTAACTAAAAGCTTTGTTCACTGATCAAATCAGCTGGTCTGGGACAGAATGGACCTGGTCGTCTTTAAGAGCCAGACTGGATTTTCTGCCTCGTAAACGCATTGAGAGGCACGCAGCTACTGGGGAAGAGGCAGAAAGGTTAGAGTTAGTTGTGTCTTGCAGTGAGGACCTTTGATATTTACACTTCTTTTTTTTTTTAATGATTTTGGTTAGGGAAACCATTGAGGGCTTATTCTTAATAAATATTCTCTCAAATGTGAAGGTCTAATTATTTGCTGCGTGTGTGTGTGTGTGTGTGTGTGTGTGTGTGTATGTGTCCTGGTGGTTTGGTGTGCTTTCTCTTTGTACTAAAACTCTCTCCCTCAGAGCCACATGACAGATGATAATTACTTTCTGTGGTGCCGAATGCATTGCTCTCCACTCAATGAACACTGTTACCTGACTCCCACTCCAACCCCGGGGGAAATCCGGATTCACAGAGGAATAGAACCTTCTTACAAAACCTGGAATATGATTGCGATTTTACTTCTGAAGCACCCGCTTCCCAGAGGAATAGCCTGTGATTGATGCCACTGTCAGGAACCCAGAGGCACACACTCATACATCAGCCGGGAAATTACATAAACAGCTCACCCAGCAGGCCAGTGCTGACTCACCCACTTGCTCCCCTCTGAGAAGAGGGCTGATAGGAAACCCAGAGCAACAGCAGGGAACAAAGGAAGGAGTTGGAAGAGGATCAGGCTCTTCAAAGTCTGCCGGGTTCTTTTCTTGCTCATCTTCTGCCGAGGGCAGCAGCCGTAGGCTAAGGTCTGTAGTTCTGCTGTGTGGCCAGGATCACGGGCTGTTGTTCATTTTGTCCAGGGAGTGTGCTGGGAGTTGTTTTCATGGTACATACAAGGATACACACAGCTCTGCACACATACCTGCATCCTTCTATAGGTACACAAGATGTCCACATGTTCCTTTGGGGTGGATGGGACCTATGTAGGCTAAGCTCATGCTATGACATTTGTCTTTCTGGAGAGCAAGTCTATGTTGATTCCAGCAGGATGGGGCAGCAGAGACTGGTTTGTTGCTAAGAAGGTGTCTGAAAAATAAGGGTACCACTGGGGCAGAGGAGTAGAAAGCAGTCCAGTAGGCCCGCTGACACCTCATGAGGGTGAGTGTGGTTTATCGGTAGCGGCAGGCCAAAGCGTTGACATTCTTGACCACATAAAAGCCCATGGTGACTGGAGGGATGACCAATGTCCGGCCGGCCCGCAGGGGTCGGGGCTTCAATTCTGGGAGGGTCCCATCGTCCACCATCACTAAGGGCTGGCCATTCAGCTGCACTGACCTATGGTGAGGAAAAACAGCATTGCATTACAAGGGAGCCGTTGCGACAAAGCTGGGGCAGCCCCAGGCTGCTGCCAGTCTGTCTAATACGTGCACAGCTATCACTGACACTTGCTATGCCCAGGCTCTCACCTAGGGGCTTGATTTTAATAATAAATTCAAGCATCTCAGCAACACTCTGAGGAGGAGACTATCATTATTCCTATTTTACCTGCAGTGGTTAAGTGACTTGCCCAAGGTCATACAGCTTGTAGGTCTGGGAGCCAGGATTTGAACACAGGTAGTCTAGTCCCACAGATGCATCATTTAGACAAGTGACAGGTCTCTGTGCTGCAGAAGCTGAGAAGTATCTCGTGCCTAATTTTTTAAACATCATAATAGCACTTCAGTTTGATTTTTCTACCTAAAGAGTTTTTACCTGTGGAATGATGCACAGGCTTAAAATGATTTCAGAAATCTCCTGTTTAACTTGAAATTTTCATTAATTTATTTGACAAATTAGAGAACAGACATATTACTTGTATCGGGTTGTTCTGAAGGACAGAGACATATCTTTAACAACTCTCCTTTTCCTAATCTGACAATGAGCTTTTCATATCTAATATTTAATGGGTGTTTCTATTTTAGCAACAGTAGGTGATGAAAGAGGCATTTGTGATCACAATTCATCTGTCTTGACGGCTTTTATTCTTCCTGTGTGCCAGCCATCTTCAACCCTGAGAAGGGGGCCATGTATGTGGTACACATCGAGAGCAAAGGGGAAACAGATCACCCATCTTTGGTCTGTGGTGCAGAATCCAGACAACGTCCCGATTTTTCCTGACTGGGGAGTGACTCGTACAGCCGTGTACCCAGGTCGAAGCTCAGTTTTACAGGTCAGAAGAAAAGGCCAGAACCAGGCCACCAGCTGGAAAGAAGGCTGTCAGTTACCCTCAGAAAATCAGCACTACATAGTGATGACTATTTCTGGGCCTTGCCCAACCTCCAGTGTGATAACATTGCAGCGATATCATCTGAGCTGTAAAGAAAATAAAATGTTAGAAATTGATACTGAGGTCTTTGTTTAGTGTTCCTTCTGTGCTGTGAATGATAGACAGGTTTAGAGAGAGATAATCAGACCCATGCCCAATAGAGCAGTGAATTCCCAGAGATAAGTGTGTTGTAAATTGCTCCCAGTGGAGAGCGAGGCAGAGAAGCAGCTCCAGGCCTGAGCCCACATGAATAAGTTTGGGCCCAGGCCAGGACTGATAGGCCAGGGAGGGCAGCCCCCTCCTCTTGTTGGTATGGCTGAGGAATGGATGAGTGAGAAGGGGACTCCTGTTTGGACAGCCAGGCCTGCCTCTGGGAGGTGTGGCGATGCGAGACAGGTGTTGACCTCACCAAATATGCAAGGAGCTTTTTCTCCAAATTTGAGTGACCCTCTCTGTTGAAGACGACTACTTGCTACAAACAACAGCCCAGACGCATCTTCACAGTGCAATTTCATTATTTTGTTTCAGATGGCGTAACTACCCAACAATCAGACCTATGCATCGTCAAATACAAGTTCAATAATACTAATTAATCTTTCCACACCATATTCATATAAATATCACGTTTCTACTTGAAAGCCTTCAATGGTCCCTCTTCCACACAGAATTAGGTGCAAGCCCTCCCCTTGAGGAATTAACGCCCATTTAGATTCAGCTGATCCCAGAGTACTGACATCTTTGGCTCTGGGAGGTGCAAAACCAAGCGTGACAGGCAAGTCTTTGATTGCCTATACTAATAACGAGTAGTTATTCTGGAACAGGCCCCATTCTGATTTCCCTGTCGGTTGGTTAAAAAGCTAACTCGGGTGTGTGGAACAGGGAGCATGGTCGATTCTGGACTGATCTCTAACTCAGGAGCCGGACCACTAGCTAGATGACTATGACAAATCTCTTAACCTCACTTCCTGTAATTTTTGCATCTATAAGAATGTTATCTAGGCTGTAGTGTGAATGCAATGATGTAAAAATATGAAAGTGCTTTGAAAGCATAACAAGCCATATACATGGGTGACGGTGTGATTCTTTCGTTATTCTTTTCATCGCTGTTATGGGTAAACATTTTGGTCCTTGTACTTGACTGCTCTATGGCCCTGACAAGTCCATGGCTCCCTGCTTAAAGCCCTCTCTTCCCTTGGCTCCCATGTTCATTCTCTCTCTCTCTCTCTCTCTCTCTCTCTCTGTTTTCCTCCTTCATTTCTGCATGTTGTTTCTTTTTCAAGGGGACCGTTCTCTTCTACCTGCCTCTCAGATGTTGGGGTTCCTGGTGCTTTGTCCTTGGACACCTTCTCTTCCCACACTACGTACTCCCCTGGGCACTATTAGCCACACCCAGGACTTTGATTCTTATCCACATGTTGAAGCTTCCCAAACCTGTACCTCCAGTCTAGATCCTTCCGATTTATGTATCTCCACTTAGCTGTCCCACAGGAACTTCAACGTCACTATGTCAAAGTCAAATCTTCTACTCACACCTTGTCCTTTTCTCCGCCTTTTGATCTTTGTGCTGGTACCACCATCCGTCCAATTACCTAAGACGGGAAGCTGGGAGTCATCTGAGGCCTCTTGCCCAGTTTCCATATCTCTAGGGTCACTAAGTCCAATCAATTCTACCTTTTAACATTGTTCACGTCTGTTCCTTTGACTGCCATTGTTTTAGTTTAGACCCTCACCCTCTCGCTTGCCACATTGTTGAGCGAGAGGTCTGCTGCCGTCACTGCTTCAAGCTCTCCAGCTCCCCATCCCTTCCACTTGAATGGGGACAATGAAGTCTAGCTCCATCCCTCTCCAGTCTCAGGTCCTGCCAGTACTGCAGTGCCAGGTACCTGTGGATAGCAGACCTCTGGGGGAGGGTGTGGGATGTGGTGGCAGTTACCGGAAGGCTTTCATCAATATATGCCTGAACAAAGATTGTTTTACAGTGAAAAACTAGTAAGTCTTGCAGATAGATGAGAATAGTTCTCAAATGAAAATGTAAGCAGATACCGTTGGGGTTAGAATACACAAGTTCATTAAAAGTGCAGTAAATATCTTTCAGATGTGAATGCCAGTAGACACTGTTGGGAGTAGTAAGACACAAGTTGATTTAAAACTGCAATAAAATTCCCATAAGATTTTTTTGGGAGGACAAGGGCATCATGAGCTTTTTTCAAAACAGAGATCTTAAAAGGACAATTGCTATAATGTGAAAGGGCTATGACATTTGTTGACACTGCAAAGGGACCCTCCTACTTTTGAGAGGCCAGCGCCCTTGCCCCAGCATGACTGAATTAAACGACTTGCAGTTCAGCTTCAGGGTGGCTGCCTTCGGAGCTCTCTTTGTTGGTCTAGCTCCTTTGGTCCTTGTAGAGCCTGCCCAGGTGTGGTTCCCTCCGGGAGCTTTCTCTGACCCCTGGGTTCAGAGCCTCACCTCTGGGCTCTCTTGTGCCCCACACTTAACCTATAACCACCTCACTGAATCATAGTGATTTACTCGCTCTGTCCCTCACTGGACTGTGAGCTTGGTGTGGATAGGGACCTTGTCTTTTATCCCTAAATCCCTGGTGCCTAACAAGATGCTTGGCACAGAGTAAGGACGAAATATTTTCTGAACAAGTGAATGGACTTTTGAGGCTCTTTTGCATTATTTCTGGTCTTCCTGGGTTGAGTTTCTCTAGTTCTAAAGAGGCTCCCTGGAGGCTCGCTGAGTGTCTTTACAGATTTCATTAATGTACCAATTACTCTTGCTCTCAGTGGCTCTGGAGATGTTAGATATGACCTGAATTATCACTGGTTCTTACAGCCACTCACTAGATTCCTTATCCTAACCTGACACGAGGCCATTGATCATTGCTCGTGTTTTTCATCCTTAAAAAATATCTCTATGACCATCTCTGAGCTAAGCCAATATGAGTTAATTTTGTGAGAACTTGAATCCTCCTATGTCCTTCTCTACAAAGTCCTTTCATTATAAAGATGGACTGTGTGCCTTACCACTTCCATTCTATTTTTCCTGCTTACGTTTTTCTTTTAATATTTATCCTGTTATCCAGTGAAGTCATGTCAAGCTAAATGTTACAGTAATCTTTCATTTTCTTGCATTGAACAATTTGTAAATTTGCAAACCTAATCATGTTAATGATTACAAAAATCATTGATTATTGAGCACTGTCTATGCAAAAGTCACTATGCTATGATTTACTTTGATTATTGCATTTGGTCCTTACATCGACCAAGGCAGATATTGGCATCCCTATATTACAGATGAAGGAATCAAAGTTTAGAGGGGTCTAAAATTCACCTAATTCACACAGCCAGCAATGGTAGAGCTGAGACTGCACCGCTGCCTTTCACCATAGTCCTATCTGGCTTTCCTTGTGATTGCTAAAGAGCCCTGGGAGGCACCTAGGGCAAGATTATTATTATTATTGTAACTTCACTATTGAGATGAGGTCAGAGAGGTTAAGTGGTCTGGGCAAGGTCACATAGCTAATAGGTGGCTAAGCTAGGTCTCAAATTCAGACCTCTTGACACTTCATTCTACTATTTCATGTTGTTCGCCAATTCCAGATGGCACTCACCAGGATCGTATTTCTTTCTTTGAAAACCTTTCTTATCATATTTTCATCATATTCTGGGACCTCCTTACTGCCCATGGCTTTTCAAACCAAATGCTAAATGATCCAGACTATGTTGAACTATTTCTCTTAATTCCCTAGCTGCCGAGGGCATTTTAATTATCCAAATATTAGGACAACTGGGTTTTATCACCATTTGTTTTCACAAAGTCTGAGTTACTTTGCAATTCCTAAAGTTGTTTTCTTTATTTTGCATGCTATTTGAAATGGGATTCAATGCCTCAATTTGGAGTCAAGCCCTCTGCTCCTCAGGTCTCTGTGGGAGCCGCTTGGACGGGTCACTCTTTTCCCCCCGCCACCTGTCTACAGTCTCTGGTCTTCATGTCTTATGGCTCTTACTGGCCATACTGAAGCAA